TTAAATTGCACTTTGTAAAAGGATGTGTACTGATTGATACTTTAGTCTGGGTGAACCTAAATTATTTATAGCTGGTAGTTGATATTGGCTTTAAACTAGCTTTCTGTAACTGGGAGTACTCTCATTTCAGTGCTTGATTTCTATTGTTTAATGTTAGTTGTTTTTGTACTGATCTTTTGTGTTAAGGATGTTCGCTCCTGTTGTTTTTTAATTTTTGCCAGATATTCGGAATCCTTTGGTTTTATCCATGTAGTGCCATTAAAAAAGTTTCCCTGCTGACCCCTACTTTTCTTTTCATAATTTTATTACATATAGTTTATAAAGCCATATTTGAAAATGCTATATAAAGATCCTTGTTATTTTTTCATAATTTTTGAAAGAAAAAGGGTGCCAATGTTAAATGTATGAAAAGTCTAGAGAGAATTATTTCCTGCCAAATTTTCAACTGCTTATATCTTGAAAACAATCACACGGACCCTTCATTTTTTTCTGCTTTTTTAGTTCCTTTATTTGTATTCTATCAATTTACAACAGTCTTTAAAAAAGCTTGTTATTTTGAAACAGAGTAGCGAACATCGTTAAGCCAATCGTACTGATTTTTTTGGTTTGTTATACTGTTTCACTACTGTCCCAGGTTATAGGTAGGGTTGAGCTCTCACAAACATGTTTAACTCCAACACATACTTTAAGTGTCTGTCCAAAGTAATGATCAGGAGTCTGTAGTTCAGTGGTTGTCGTTGGTTCATGTCTGTTATATTATCTGCTCTTAATAAAAGTTATAATGTACATTTAAGTATTTGAAATGTTTCCCCTTAATTTAATGTTCTTCAATTTACTGTATTCTTAACTTTTTTTGTTTTTTATCATTTTATTTTGTTATAAATTTCAAATCAGAAATGAATAAATAAGTCATAACCTTAACAGTACCAATTTTTCTGCACCAGATGTACAAAAAAGTTAAAAAAGCCAAATAAAGTACGAAGTTGAAGAGCATTTAGAACCAAAAATTCCTAAAAGTTTTGCCAAATACAGCTAAGGTAATCTATTCCTAAGGTAGAAAAGCCTTAGTATTTAAAAAAAAGAGCATGGAAAGTTAATGTTATCATTTGCCTTCATCTTAAAACTTACTTACAGTAGAATTAAATATTGAAATATGATGTGCTATGATTGCCAATGAGACAATTATCAACTAAAGACCAAATGACAAAGATATTAATAGTAACATGGCTGTATTGCCTTTAACATTGAGCAAAATGCATACTGCTTTGTAAGCAATATAATAGAAGGTCCTAAAATTAATAAATGTGAAACAATTCCAAAAAGAAAACTTTAAGCCTAATTTAAAATCTATTATATATTAGATAAAACAATGATAGCAAAATTCAACCAACTTCAACTACTGGACTACATGACATGAGACAGAGATGTAACAGTTCAAAAGTTAACTGCAAACATCTGTTCTAAAGGACTTGACTCACCAGATCAGCACAAACATCAAAAACAATTAACATAATGAAAAAAGTCACTTGAAAGTACTGATCTAAGACTGAAAGCTAATTCATGCCCCAATATCAACTAATAATAAACCATGAAACATTTTCTCAAACTAAAGAAACGGTCAGTACACCCCCCCAATGCATTAATATAACAGCTGCAGTTTAGTAAGTCTCTTTTGACGTTTGTGTGCATCTCAAATGCCCAAACAGAAAGTTAATTACATGGATCCGATAGGGTTTACAAAATAATATATTAGAAACCAATTAGAAAAAACCCACTGTAATCCGTTTGTTTTAATTATTTTCAAAAGGATAAACAATTTTTTTTTCTCCAATTCTTTGTCCTTTTAAACTGGCAATCAGACCAGTTTTATAAATTTTAATGCACCACATTCTGATTAAATTTGTTTTGTGTAATTTCCCGCCATATCCACTGTGGATTCATTATTGTTTGTTGGATTCCAATTTTTGTGGATTTTGTTGGTACAGGTGAATCAAAAATTTAAATGAAAAATGTGCAATAAATTTCACAATCAATTATTTAATTTCTATAAGCTTTTATGCAGACTTTGGCAAAACCACAATATCAAATATCCACAAAAATACAAATTTTCCTCAATACACAAAAATTGGAACCCACAAAAATAAATGAATTCACAGTTTTTGAAATGTTGATCATTCCCCTATAAATCATTAGAGAAATCAGATACTACCGTTTTACTCTGTTGACAACCTTTTTCTAATTTTATCTATCTAGAGTGGATAGATATTGTTATCAATAATGAAGTGTGGTTTAATCTATATTTATTAGTTCTGTCATAAATCCAAGTATCGTCATAACTTTTTATTTTTACTGATACATTTTTCTTGATGGGTTTAATATATGCTCTAATGCAGAATTTTATTCCTCTTAAAGTGATAAAAAACGAGACTCTGTCTCAGATTTTGTTTTTGTAATCATTGGGTTTTATTAAAGAAAAATTGTCTAGTGTTGATAAAGACTTTTTGACAACTTCAAAAATACAGAAATCAATAAAAAATGATAACTGGCCCTAATGTCACAGTACCCATATTGCACCCATTCAACAAAAGTAGCTGTGGAAATCTTACATTAGTTTTTGTCAAGCCTGCGACTTTTGTCACAGAAAGCTCGACATAGGGATAGTGATCCCGCGGTGGCGGCGTTAGCTAACTTCTTAAAAGCTTTATATTTTAGAAGGTGGAAGACCTGGATGCTTCATACTTTGTATGTAGATGCCTTATGTTACGAAGTTTCTGTCTGTCACATGTCCATTGTCCTTGACCTCATTGCCATGGTTCAGTGACTACTTGAAAAAAAAGTTGTGATTTTTTGTAATGTTAATTTCTCTCTTATTATGGGTAATAGGATAACTATATTTGGTATGTGCGTACCTATCAAGGTCCTCATGTCCGTCAGACAGTTTTCACTTGACCTCAACCTCATTTCATGGATCAGTGAACAAGGTATAGTTTTGGTAGTCAAGTCCATATCTCAGAGACTCAGATACTATAAGCAATAGATCTAGTATATTTGGTGTATGGAAGGATTGTAAGGTGTACATGTCCAACTGGCAGGTGTCATCTGACCTTGACCTCATTTTCATGGTTCAGTGGTTATAGTTAAGTTTTTGTGTTTTGGTCCATTTTTCTTATACTTTATGCAATAGGTCTACTATATTTGGTGTATGGAATGATTGTAAGGTGTACATGTCCAACTGGCAGGTGTCATCTGACTTTGACCTCATTTTCATGGTTCAGTGGTCAAAGTTAAGTTTTTGAGTTTTGGTCTTTTTTCTTATACTATATGCAATAAGTCAACTATATTTGGTGTATGGAAATATTCTATGATGTACATGTCAGTCTCACAGGTTTTATTTGACCTTGACCTCATTTTCACGGTTCATTGCTCAGTGTTAAGTTTATGTGTTTCAGTCTGTTTTTCTTAATTTATAAGCAATAGGTCAGCTATATTTGTTGTATGGAAGGATTGTAAGCTGTTCATGTCTGCCTAGCATGGTTCATCTGACCTTGACCTCATTTTCACAATTCATTGGTCAATGTTTAGTTTTCTTGGTTAAGTCTGTTTCTTAGAAACTATAAGCAATAGGTCAACTATATTTAGTGGATTGAATGATTGTAAGGTGTACATGTATTTCTCGTTTGGTTTATATGACCTTGACTTCATTTTCTTGGATCATGTTAAGTTTATGTAATAGTTGTAGTAAAGCTTTCATTTAGGACTATCAACATAATATCAATGGTAAGTAAAGAAGGCGAGACATTTCAGCGTGTGCACTCTTGTCTTTGATACTAAACAATTTGTATTTTTATGATTTGACATTATACATGTCTTTCAAAATAGGTAAATATATTCAAATATACACAAAATACACAAAACCTTCACAGTTTATATCAGCAGATGAGCATTCTCAGCTGGAAAAAGTAAATCTACAGAAACGTCGCCATGTGACAACAACAAAAAGTCGTCTTTTAAAAATGAGCAATTGAATATGTTACAAGCATCCTTTTCTTAAAAAATGAATACTGGTAGTAAGTATGGACTAATGTCAAATTGTTGTAAACATTTGAAGAAATAAAACAAAACATCTGTTATTCAATTTTTAAGGATGTGAATTTAAGCATGGATGCAATTTGGGTACTCCTCATTACAGAATCATGGATCGTTTGGAGGTCGGTTCAAACACATTTTTCTATGATTCAATATGGATTCAAAATTAAATTGGTGTAACAATATAGTAAATAAGGATACATCTACAAAATAAACACAGAATGGAAACTTTTGTCTGGATCATAAAAAATGCAGGTGAAAAAACTGTTAAAATAGGTGCAATTTGGGTACCCTCACGTAATATATGTTTCAAAATTTCAGTCTGTCATATTTCCATTGTCCTTGACCTCAGATTCTTTAAGCAGTTGGTGTATAGGATGATTTTACATGTCTATCTGGCAGGTTCTATCTGATCTTGACCTCATTTTCATGGTTCATCAGTCAATGTTGAGTTTTTGTGTTATTGTCTATTTTTCAGATACTATAAGCAAAAGGTCAACTATATTTGGTGTATGTAATGATTGTAAAGTTTACATGTCTGTTTGACAGGGATCATCTGACCATAATCTCATCTTCATGGTTTATTGAATAATGTGAAGTTTTCTAGGAATGTCCTGTATATAAAGACTTTCAACATATGCTTATCATTATCAGTAAAGCAGGCTAGACTTTCAAGGATATAAAAATCAGAGGATGTGGTATGATTGCTAATGAGACAACTCTCCACCAGAGACCAAATGACATAGAGGTTAACAAATATAGGTCACCGTATGACCTTTTACAATGAACAAAACCCATACCAAATAGTAAGCTATAAAAGGCCACACTTTTGTTTGATATAGGTAAGTGTTCAAAAATAATCTGTTGATCAACTGATTAATTCTGTACTCTTAATATTTTTATGTATTTTATAGTGTGGATTATGGCAATCTGTCCATATAGATGACCTTCACCCTCCACCAGAAGAAATCCCATCAGTTTCAGAAATGCATGGTAAATCTGTTAGTGCATTATTAGCCACCACTAAAGAACGACCTTCAGAGGTCAAAATGGATGTTATGGAAGGTGACCAAATGGAAAGAATGGAGACAAATGAGGAGGAAGTTGACCTGATGGACATAGAATTACAAGAAAAAACGTCAGATAGAATTTTTACGCCAAAGAGACAGTTTCATGTTGATTATCTGATAATGAAATGTGTACAGCCTGCCCTTGGTAATGTTAAGGATCCACCTACAGATAGTTCCAGGGCTATAGAAAGGCTTAAGATTATTCTGAACAGTTTGCAGAATGACTATGGTGTGTATAAGTTAGATGTACAATAAATCACTAGGCTAAGGCTTTACTAGGTTTAGGTTAGGGTGCAGTATGGAATGAGGTGTGTAGTTGAGTTTATGACAAACATACTGTGGATTCATTATTATTCGTTGGATACCAATTTTAGTGGATTTCGTGGGTACAGGGGAACCATGAATTTAAATGTTCAATGAATTACAAATTTTCTAAAGAATGTAATCCCACTTTGCCAAAATGATGAAATTACAGGTAATTATCCACGAAAAATGCAAGTTTTCTTCAATCCACGAAAATTGGTACCCACGAAAATAAATGAATCCAAAGTAGCTTAGGTTTGATATATTATATTTGTATTTTGGTAATATGTTCAATTTGAGAAAAAAATATTTTTGTATTTTTTTTTCCAATAATGCAAACAATAGACGGTTTAATGATTTCTATAGAATAAATGGAGATGTTAGGTATTTATCAATGAGACAAAACATTTTGAATATCAAAGATCTACCATCAAAACCAATTTTTTCAAATGACTACCCCCTCTCATCTCCCCCCCCCCTAAAAAAACAACAAAATAATACAAAAAAGAAACCCAACAACCAACAACAAAAAAACAACAACAGAATAAAAAAATAAAGAATTTAGATATAAAAATAAGATGTGGAATGACATTGAAGTTAACAACTATAGGTCACTATACAAATGACTGCATTCTGTATTTATTATACCTAGGTGATCTGACAGTTCTATCAGGGATTGCCAAACATCTGACCAGCATACTGAAAGAGAAAGAACAAGGTCCTACTACAATGATGACTAACTGGTTATCAGCAGAGGCTTCAAAACCAGAGAACATCAACAGAGCTGGTACTTTCAGGTATGTGATGATATATTACAGCATACCAGAAAACCTTGTGTCAACACAAAATTTCCTGCAAGTGATCAATTCTGATGTGGTCATAGTTGCCAACCTCTTCCAATAAGAAATCATGTCAAGACATGAAGTGACATGTCAAAAATGTGTGTAAAAACTTTTTTCAGAAATTCATTCATTTTAACTTGATCATTTCAAAACATACAAGAATGTGTGTGGTTATGTGTAAAAATATGGAATATCTGTAACATGCTGTCTTATAAGAAAAGGCATGTGTAAACTATTAAAAACATTTAGTATACTAGTACATAAAAGGCTTAAAACTTTGTATGCCAGACATATGTTCTGAAAACTGAAAATTCCAAAAAGTTGTGGCAAATATGACTACAGCAATCTATACCTATAGTAGATTATCCTTTATGTTTAGAATAATTCAACATTTTATACACATTAAATTGATGCTTTTTTCAATATTTATAAATTAAAGGGATGAAATTATTTTATTATATTTAATTGAGCTTGAAATTTACTCTGAACAATTTAAAACTAAAAAGTCTTCTTTATACTCCAGGCGATTTGCAGTTCAGTGTTTGGAGTCCAAAGTTATACCGCTACTAGCTGGAATTATAGCTTTTATAGACACAAATAGAAATCTGGACATACTAACATTTAATGAACAGTGGAAAATTGACTTGTGGTTGGAAGTCTTCAATGATCCAGAATTGACTCAACTTAGATACACTTGGATAGTCTCCCCTTCTCGTCAGCAAGAATTACAAGAAGTAATAGTCAAGACAACATCACTGGAAGGAAAGGTTTTCTCAGCCATCATGCCATTTTCCTGGTTGATATTTCAGCAAATTGATGAAATTTTGAGAAATACTATGAACACAAAAGAAGTTGGAGGTAAAGTGAATACTATCATATCCACGTACAGTACTTGCAACCTTAGGCGTTACTGTTTGACGTGAACTTGACTGATCGATGAATGATCGGTGACGGATGTTTGACTGATCGATGACTGATCGGTGATCGATGACCCATAGAATCCGTCAGATACGTCAAATAAGCTATGTGAGAGTTACCTTGACAACGGTCAGCGATCGATCAGTAAAGTAATTATATGCACGGATCGGACGGATACGTATATAATTAAAATTCTTATGTAAAACGAACTCCACAGTATTTACATTCCATAAACGCGGACCTCTACGAAGACACCTTTACTCGTTAATTTTTAATCAACTGGTTGCAATAACACATAAATAATATACAAATTACTTTTCATGCATTATATGTATTACTTAATATTCTCTTGTACTTGAACGTGGTATGTTTTATTCAAAATCATAAGGCCTCAAGTAACGATTTTTTTATAAGAATTTCATACTTCCATTTCAAAATTGTAAGGAAAAAAATACTTTAACTTTTTTTGTGTTGAATACGAATGTAATAATTTCTTTATTTTGATAGAAGTTACGAAATTCCATTAGATTTCAGTATTTTTTGTACATCAGGATTGATTGTTTTCCATGAAGTATGCTAACTTTTAGGGAAAAGATACTAAATTTTTTTCGTGTTGAATAAAAATGCAAACTATTTTTCTTTTATATCAGAAATAAACCAACCTCAAATGCAATCAGACATTAAAAATGCATTTAGATCAGTACTTTTGTATAAGATGTGAATAATTTAAGGATATATATGCATAAACTTATGTTTTTTTTAATAAGAATGCAATAATTTTTTTATTTTAATGGAAATTATTGACCGCCATTGGATTTTTGTACTTTTTGTAGTTCAGGATTGGTTTTTTTTTCCATGAAACTAAAAGAATATCAGAGAAAAAATACTAAGATGTTGTTCGCAATGTATAAAATTAATAATTTTTCTTCTTTTGATGAAAGATTATGAATGTTATTTGAAACTAGTTATTTTAAAGGCCTCAAGATCAGTTTTTTATAAGAAATTTAATAATGTAAGGAGAATCAAACTTAAACTTTTGTTTGTGTTGAATACATATACAATAATTTCTTTATTTTGATAGAAAATATGAAGCGCCATTTGATTTCAGTACTTTTTGTACATCCAGATTGGTTGTTTTTCATAAATTATGGTGAATTTCAGGGAACAGATACTAAATTTTTGTTTGCGTTGCTTAAAAATGCAAATATTTCTTTTATTTCTAAAATATTGCAACGTCACTTTCAATAAGTCATTATAGCCTTTAGATAAGCAATTTTGTACAAAATGTGAATTATTGAAGGATAAATATGCATACACTTTTGTTTTTGTTGAATAAGAATGCTATCATTTCTTTATTTTAATGGAAATTATTGATCGCCATTGGATTTTTGTATTTTTTGAAATTCAGAATTGGTAGTTTTTCATAAAATTAATAGAATATCAGAGAAAATATACTAAAATGTTGTTTGCATTGTTTAAAATAACCAATTTTTCTTTTTTTGATAAATAAAAATGCAATGATTTTGTAACTAGTTCTTTCAAAGGCCTCATGATACATGTAAGATTTTTATGAGAATTTTTAATAAATAAAGTTTAAACTTTTGTTTGTGCTGAATAAGAATGCAATAATTTCTTTATTTTGAAGGAAATTATGAACCGCCATTTGATTTCAGTACTTTTTGTACATCAGAATTGGTTGTTTTCCATCCATTATGCTGAAATTCAGGGAAAAAATACAAAATTTCTGTTTGCATTGCTTAAAAATGCATATATTTCTTCTTATATATGAGGAATAATGCAACGTCACTTGCAATCAGTCATTATAATTGCCTTTAAATAAGTCATTTTGTATAAAATGTGAAAAATTTAAGGATAAATATGCATAAACTCTTATTTTTGTTGAATATGAATGTAATAATTTCTTTATTTTGATAGAAATTATGAAACGCCATTAGATTTCTGTATTTTTTGTACATCAAGATTGAATGTTTTTCATAAAATATGCTTAATTCAAGGGAAAAGATATCAATTTTTTATTCGTGTTGCATAAAAATGCAAATATTTCTTCTTTTGTATCAGAAATAATGCATTGTCAAGTGCAATCATACATTATAAATGCATTTAGATCAGAAATTTCGATAAGGTGTGAATAATTTAAGGATATATATGCATAAACTCTTGTTTTTGTTAAATAAGAATGCAATAATTTTTTTTTAATTTTAATGGAAACTATTGACCGCCATTGGATTTTTGTACTTTTTGTACTTCAGGTTTGTTTTTTTTTTTTCATTTAACTAAAAGAATATCAGAGAAAATATAATAAAATGTTGTCCGCAATGTATAAAATTACTGATTTTTCTTCTTTTGATAAAAAATAATGAATGTTATTTGTAACTAGTTATTTCAAAGGCCTCAAGATCAGTTTTTTATAAGAAAATTAATAATTTAAGGAGAATAATACTTAAACTTTTGTTTGTGTTGAATACGAATGCAATTATTTCTTTATTTTGATAGATATTATAAACCGCCATATGATTGCAGTACTTTTTGTACATCAGGATTAGTTGTTTTTCATAAATTATGCTGAAATTCAGGGAAAAAATACAAAATTTTAGTTTGTGTTGCTTAAAAATGTATTTGTTTCTTCTTATATATGAGGAATAATGCAACGTCACTTGCAATCAGTCATTATAATTGCCTTTAAATAGGTAATTTTGTATAAAATGTGAAAAATGTAAGGATAAATATGCATAAACTCTTATTTTTGTTGAATATGAATGTAATAATTTCTTTATTTTGATAAAAATTATGAAACGCCATTTGATTTCAGTACTTTTTGTACATCCAGATTGGTTGTTTTTCATAAATTATGGTGAAATTCATGGAAAAGATACTAAATTTTTGTTCGTGTTGCTTAAAAATGCAAATAATTCTTTTTCTATTTCTAAAATATTGCAACATCACTTTCAATCAGTCATTATAAATGCCTTTAGATAAGCAATTTTGTATAAAATGTGAATTATTGAAGGATAAATATGCATACACTTTTGTTTTTGTTTAATAAGAATGCTATCATTTCTTTATTTTAATGGAAATTATTGACCCCCATTGGATTTTTGTATTTTTTGAAATTCAAAATTGATTGTTTTTCATAAAACTAAAAGAATATCAGAGAAAATACACAAAAATGTTGTTTGCATTGTTTAAAATAACCAATTTTTCTTTTTTTGATAAAAAAAAGCAATGATTTTGTAACTAGTTCTTTCAAAGGCCTCAAGATACAATTAAGATTTTTTATGAGAATTTTTAATAAATAAAGTTTAAACTTTTGCTTGTGTTGAATAGGAATGCAATGATTTCTTTATTTTGAAGGAAATTATGAACCGCCATTTGATTTCAGTACTTTTTGTACATCAGGATTGGTTGTTTTTCATAAATTATGCTGAAATTTAGGGTAAAAATGCAAAATTTTTGTTTCTGTTGCTTAAAATGCATATATTTCTTCTTATATATGAGGAATAATGCAACGCCACTTGCAATCAGTCATTATAATTGCCTTTAAATAAGTAATTTTGTATAAAATGAGAAAAATTTAAGGATAAATATGCATAAACTCTTATTTTTGTTGAATATGAATGTAATAATTTCTTTATTTTGATAGAAATTATGAAACGCCATTAGATTTCTGTATTTTTTGTACATCAAGATTGATTGTTTTTCATAAAATATGCTTAATTCAAGGGAAAAGATACTAATTTTTTATTCGTGTTGCATAAAAATGCAAATATTTCTTCTTTTGTATCAGAAATAATGCATTGTCAAGTGCAATCAGACATTATAAATGCATTTAGATCAGTACTTTTGTATAAGGTGTGAATAATTTAAGGATATATATGCATAAACTTTTGTTTTTGTTGAATAAGAATGCAATAATTTTTTTATTTTAATTGAAACCATGACCGCCATTAGATTTTGTACTTTTTGTAGTTCAGGATTGTTTTTTTTCTTCATTAAACTAAAAGAATATCAGAGAAAATATAGTAAAATGTTGTTCACAATGTATAAATTACTAATTTTTCTTCTTTTGATAAAAAATAATGAATGTTATTTGCAATTAGTTATTTCAAAGGCCTCAAGATCAGTTTTTTATAAGAAATTTAATAATGGAAGGAGAATAATACTTAAGCGTTTGCTTGTGTTGAATACATATACAATAATTTCTTTATTTGGAAGGAAGTTATGAACCGCCAATTGATTTCAGTACTTTTTGTACATCAGGATTGGTTGTTTTTCATAAATTATGCTGAAATTCAGGGAAAAAATACAAGATTTTTGTTTGCGTTGCTTAAAAATGCATATATTTCTTCTGATATATGAGGAATAATGCAATATCACTTGCAATCAGACATTATAAATGCCTTTAGATAAGTTTTTTTGTATAAAATGTGAAAATTTAAGGATAAATATGCATAAACTCTTATTTTTGTTGAATATGAATGTAATAATTTCTTTATTTTGATAGAAATTATGAACCGCTTTTAGATTTCTGTATTTTTTGTACATCAGGATTGATTGTTTTTTTATAGAATAAGCTTAATTTAAGGGAAAAGATACTAATTTTGTATTCGTGTTACATAAAAATGCTAATATTTCTTCTTTTATATCAGAAATAATGCATTGTCAAGTGCAATAAGACATTATAAATGCATTTAGATCAGTACTTTTGTATAAGGTGTGAAAAATTTAAGGATATATATGCATAAACTTTTGTTTTTTGTTGAATAAGCATGCAATAATTTTTTTATTTTAATTGAAACTATTGACCGCCAATGTAGTTTTTGTAGTTCAGGATTTGTTTTTTTTTCATTAAACTAAAAGAATATCAGAGAAAATATACTAAAATGTTGTTCGCAATGTATAAATTACTAATTTTTCTTCTTTGATAAAAAAAATAATGAATGTTATTTGTAACTAGTTATTTCAAAGGCTTCAAGATCAGTTTTTTATAAGAAATTTAATAATGGAAGGAGAATAATACTTAAGCTTTTGCCTGTGTTGAATACATACACAATAATTTCTTTATTTTGATAGAAATTATGAACCGCCATTTGATTTCAGTAATTTTTGTACATCCGGATTAGTTGTTTTTCATAAATTATGGTGAATTTCAGGGAAAAGATACTAAATTTTTGTTCATGTTGCTTAAAAATGCAAATATTTCTTCTTTTATTTCAAAAATATTGCAACGTCACTTTCAAATTTTTAATAAATAAGGTTTAAACTTTTGCTTGTATTGAACAGGAATGCAATAATTTCTTTATTTTGAAGGAAATTATGAACCGCCATTTGTTTTCAGTACTTTTTGTACATCAGAATTGGTTGTTTTTCATAAATTATGCTGAAATTCCGGAAATAAAATCCCAATCGCGATTTAAGTCGTTTTAGCACTGTTCGGGTATGAAAACATATAACCTAAATAAAAACAAAAATCGCCATTCAGTTATAATAATATTTAAAATCAGTTTTATCTGCATATTTCTTTTTTTTTATTCTTAAAACTTTACTGAATAATCACTAAAAAATGTTGATCTTTTGTACTTGAACGTTTCGTATTTTCCGTGGCGCCATTAATTAAATGAAACGAAACTAAGATTCCGTAATTTGTATTAGTTTATCATGTGACGTAGTAGAGTTCAATCTGTCAGAAAGGTCGATCGGTCCTATCCGTCCGATCCGTCCGATCAGTCAAATATTTTTACCATAAATCTGACAGATTGGTGACGCGAGTTTGACGCGAACTTGACTGATCGGTGACTGATCGATGACCGCTGATTGATCGCTAAAATAGTAACGCCTAAGGTTGCAAGTACTGTATATTATACTGGAGTGAAATTTTTTATTCTGCCTACTCCTACAGTTTGATTGGTTACCTTGACAGGGTATTTGAGCCCCAATACACTGTGAACAAAAATGAAATTCAAAATTGTAATTTATGTTGAAATCACTACTCTCCGGTATAATAAAATTGTTATTTGGGCTTCACAGGAGATATTGGCTCATATTTCATGTCGGTGCCCTAAAAATCCCCTTCCCCTTCTGGCTCAGGAGATGTAAATCACCAAAAGGGAATATGAGCCCATATGCCCTGAGAAGATCCCAAATAACATATAATATTAATTTTTTATTGAGAAAAATCTATGAAATTTGGCTCTAAGATGATAAATTTGCACATGATGAATTCAGTAATGGAGTATACAAGTTTAAAATGTTGAAATCTACTAATTTTGTGCTAACTATGAAAATGTGCATCTATGACAAAATTACCATTAGAAACTTATGTGAATATATCGCTGTTTATGTTTTGAAAATTAGTAATCTGTATTTTTAGTATTAAATTTTATTTTTAGTCTGCTCAATGAAGCAGTAGATATATATATGAAGCTTTTTATTCGCATAAACAAAAATAATTGTGGTAAAAAGAAACTCAGAAACCTGAATTTCCACTGTAAATGTTGATTGTGTTCATTTTTTTCAGTTTTGATTCTTCTTAGATACTAAGAATTAAAGACAATTTTAAAGCTTACTTGAATTTTAAGTGAGATGTTTGCTCTGTGTTAAACGCCTTTTAAATGAGATCTATAGATGAAGAACATCATTATAGGTGTTGTTTATTTTTTAAGGGTTTTGTTGAAATCATGTAGGTATTTTGTGTTATGAATCAATGCAATAATAAATGTGTTCTATTTTCACAGATAGTTGGTTTGATGTTGTAATGAAAGCAACAGAAATATTCCAGGAATTACCTCTTGGAAGACTTCTTTCCAGTACAGAAGGAACTTACATTTATCCACTCCTAAAATCCTACATCCTAGACTTTGTCCACATGGTTCATGCTGTCCAGTCTGAAGAGGAATGCAATGTAACTTATTTATACAATTAAAATATTGAGTCATACTTTTTTCATGCCTTTAATTTAGAATTTCCATGTCAGGTTATCACATTCATAGTGGTTTTAATCTTAAAAGTCATTTTCAGTTATTGTGGTGCAAAATTTATTTCTATGACTTTATTGTATACACCTTTTCTGTCCATTCATCTGTCAGTCCATTTGTCCATCTGTCTGGTTCAGGGCTTCCAAAATTATTTTTAGCCAGCCGGACATTTTATATATTATCCCGATTTTAATCCCTTAAGACTAAATAAACAAAAGGCAATTATGGTAATCAGTTGCCGAGTTGGCCATCCCAATGGAATGATTGACATTAAAAAAAAACCGATATTAAACTTTCTTTGATTCAAATTCGAAGTTCTGACGTAAACTGTTAAATTGGTAGTGCAACATTCGAGGTGTGCAACATCAGCATACTTATATCTGCCTTAGACTCTTTATTTGTGCAAAATAACGTTGTCAAAAACTTTACTTTCATTTTTAATCTAATACCGGATGTTATCTTGACAATGGTAAAATATGGACCAGAGACGGATACGTAAATTCCTTGTACGTTTGCAAAGCATGAATGAGTGTAAGTAGCTCTTTCTACGTTATTTTTTTCCAGAAAATATTCCAAATAAACGTGAGATAAAGGTATCAATGACAATTTAAGCATTTTTTGAAGAAATGAGGATGCATAATTAAATTTCAAACCTGCGCACATGCGCACACGTGTACTAGTTCAAACATGTCTCTGGTTCAAACAACATGGTTATGAAGAATTTTCATCTTTTTAATTTTTTCATTAAATCATATTTGTAATTGTATTTCTGATAATTTAAATCTTTTTGACGAAATTAGATGCAAACCGCTGAAATGTTAAGAAAATAACTTTGAATAGACCAATAAATGTCCGGTTCAAAATAGTAATCTGTCACCTGAACAGGTAAATTTCAGCTGTTTGACAACTAATTAGCCTTGATTAAAATGAGAAGGTATTAAAGTAGGGGTTGTTTTGATAGTACTTAATGATCATGTCACTTTTATGACCGGAAATGTGTGGCTGTTAAAGGCAAAAGGTTGGGTCAAAAAGATCGTGAACTATGTTAAAATGACCGTCTCTTAAGAAAGCCTTGGAAACTAAAAAGTAGATGAGCGTTTCATGCTTTGCCCAGCCGGACATTTACCAGACATTATACAAATGTCCGGCATATATGACCGTTTTGGAAGCCTTGGTCTGGTTGTATTTGACAAGTACTACTGAACAGAATGACTTCATATTTGGTCAGCAGATGGAAAGTGATGAGTTGTAATGTTTGAGCACATTTTGGACCTGTCAGTCACCTACTTCCTTAGTTGCCAACACTGTGAACTTTTCAATATGTTGAATGAACTTTTCATCACACATTTCTCTAGTTCCAATAAACAGAATGACTTCATATTTGGCCTGCAACTTGACATTACTGCTATTACTGATGAGTTGAATAGTGTGAGCACTTTTAAGATCTGTCAGACTCTTACGGTTTTCATATACTTTTAATGACCAGTAGTGGTATGCTCTTCTTGTTTTCATTTGCTTAAATTTCTATATTTGCTAATCAGTATTTGGAAAAAGAAAGAAGAAAAAAAGAAAAAAATTAACAAAATATTTTCACTCGAATTTCAAGTGTTTAATGCTAGTCTTGTGGCAGCTAATTTAATGACTGTATGTGTTTGTTTCAGCTTGTCTGTGAGACAGTGAGAATAGGATGTAAAATTCTAATTGAAGGAGAATTTGGACGACTATTGCCATCTTTGTTGGGATGCCACATGACCCATATTTTACATGATGTTAGATTTAAGAACTTTTCACATATAGTTCATGTATGGCCTGGTGTCAGTCGGAAAACAGTAGAATTCCAGCAGAAAGAATCAAATTTTCATCTGGTTACCGACGAGGAAATAGTAAGTTTTATGTATTAGAATATTTACATAACTTATTATACCCCCGCTTTAAAAAAGTGGGGGTATACTGTTTTACCTCTGTCTGTCCGTCCGTCGGTCGGTCCATTCATCTGTCCATCCATCAGTCTGTTTTTTCTGCCCCATGAATATTTTTTTTTAAAAGTGGGGGTATACTGTTTTACCTCTGTCTGTCCGTCCGTCCATCCGTCCCATGAATATTTTTCGTCGCATCTTTCTCAGGAACTACATCATAAGGATTTATGAAATTTGGTTTCAGGGTTTATATAAGTCAGCTATACAGTGTGATGCATTTTCAGATTCATCACTCAACAACTTCCTTGGCGGGCAGGGGTATCATCAGTGAGCAGTAACTCGCAGTTTCACTTGTGTTTTCATAATTTTGAGTGGCAGATAACAAGCTTTAGGCATTTAAAATTCTGTTTTTTTTCCAAATAAAATGCAACAATTGTTGACAGCACATGCTCTCCGTGACAACATTTCATCAATGCATAGGAAAACAAACAAAAAGCTTGATTTAATATGTGATTCCATGGTTAAAGCATAAAATCTAATTATAAGAATTGATGCTTGTCAAAGTGTTGATCATGCACACATTTTTAGTATCCTACAAAAATGTTTTTATGATTTAAGGCGAATCACCTGGGCTTAAGGAGTTAAATGTTTTAGTGTGTTTGTAATAGCCATTTCATCAATGCTTTTAAACATTCATGCAATATGATATGTTTGACTAAGAAGTTATAACAAATATTTATGAAAATGGTTGACACATAATACAGTTGATTCTTAAGAGGTATGTCCCTTACCAAAACTTTACTTTTGTAAGCACTTTCACATATAAAGTATATTTTAAAAGCACTAAACTTGTGATCCGGTTGCTTTCATGTTGAAATGTTATCCCCAAATTTTCTTTTGTTCAATATAATTTCTGATACATTGCATTACCTTTACAGACATTGGATATTCTGGCACTTCATATGTTGATTGATCATCTTGAGCCAAGTAAGGAATCGTTAAACAAGCCAGAAACCAGAACGAAATGGTTAAGGCAAGTCTGTGATTATAGACCAATTATAGAAAGGATATTTGGACATTTTAATCAAGACACAGATAGAAGAGAATTTCACTATGGTAAAAAATGTCAGAGAGGAATCGAACAAGCAAGGTATGTACATGATGTATGTCTGTTGTGTTGATGATGCAGATATATATAAATATTTCTTCATGAAATAGAAGTAATCTTCTTAATTTCGGCTATTACTATTAAAGTAGGATCCTCATAATGACCATAGGCAAAAATACATTTTGCTTCTTGGGATGGGAAAATGTTAAGCTGGTGAGATTGGATCATTTTGAATAAACCTGTGATGTCATTTTTCAGTCTCTTTTGTTCAACACAGCTCAATATATTTTAGTCATCATGACCTTCATTTCATTCTTGTTTTTTATACCCCACGCAATTTTTGCATCAAGTATAATGTTTTGACCCGTCCGTCTGACCGTCTGTATGTACGTATGTCCCAAAGTTGGTTTCCATTCTCTAACTTTAGTTTGCCTCAACCAAATGTTATGAAACTTATACAAAATGCTTATTACCACAAAACAGAGATTGAGTTTGAATTTTGGCTGCGTCACTTTAACCTTTCTAGAGTTATGAAATGGAAAAATTGCTGAATTTTTCGTTTCCGTTCTCTTACTTAAGTTAGCCTCAAAAAATTGTTATGAAACTTATACACAATGCTTATTACCACAAAACACAGATCAAGTTTGAATTTTGATGGTGTCACTTTAACAGTTCTAGTCTCAGTTATGCCCCCTTTACAAATGGAAAAATTGCTGAATTTTTCATTTCCGTTCTCTAACTTTAGTTTGCCTCCACCAAATGTTATGAAACTTAATTACACAATGCTTATTACCACAAAATACAGATCAAGGATGAATTTTGGTGACATCGATCACTTTCACCGTTCTAGAGTTATGCCCCTTTACAAATGGAAAAATTGCTGAATTTTTCATTTCTGTTCTCGAACTTAAGTTAGCCTCAACCAAATGTTATGAAACTTATACACAATGCTTATAACCACAAAATACAGATTAAGATTGAATTTTGGTGGTGTCACTTTTACTGTTGTTCAGTTATTTCCCTTTATAACTTTATATGATATGCAAGCGGGGGCATCATCTGTGTCCCATGGACACATTCCCCATTTATTTTTCTAGAAGTTTTGCCCCTTTGCATCAATATACTACTGCAACAGTTTGTCATCTTACTTGTGAAGTGAGATTTTGTTTGTCCAGTGACAATATGAAGGCCTGGGGTTATGTGAGCGTGTTCACAAAGGTTCTTTAATTTAATAATTTGCCAACATCCATATAATTTTGTCAGTTACATTACGATTTACTGTGATAAAAACAGTTCTAGGACATTTATGTCATAACCTGTATTTCACACTACAGTGATTTTTATTAGATTTTGCTATTCTGCCATAATGGTACAGATTTTTTTCTTGACCATTCATGTCATTTTTTAAACTTTGAAATAAAGCTGTATTTTGTTTAGAGATAACACAGAAAGGGGTCTGATCCCGAAATTCCAGAGAAAATAAATGCTAAATCCTAATTTCCCATGAAAATAATTTTTCCGTTCCAGCATCACAATTCCTAATTACCTGAATTCTTGATAATTTAACTGGCTATTAACCAAATTCCTGTGAATTCAACGGCTCAATCCCGCTTTCTTCTGTCCCTCTGTAGGTATCAGTAGGTAAAATACCAGCAAGCTTGAATGGATTGACAGAGTAAAAGACTAGAATATTTCCTTGAAACTTTGTTTAAAATAAGGTTGCCCATAAAAGTAACAATGCTTTAATGTTAAATGTTATTGTTTATCTCATTTTGAAACTTTATTTTTATTCTCGTGAAAATAATCAAGAATTATTATTACACATTTGTTTTTTGTTTTTTTTTTTGTGTATAGGTTACAATGGACCAGAGTGGTTGTTGTCAAGTTATTTATAGAACATGTATGTACATCAGGAAAAGAAGAGCTGGATATCAGACGTTGTATGCCATTATGGCAGGTCAGTATGATGGAAATATAATTCCTTGCATGTACTTGCATTAAATCTATCATACAAACAAACAAACAGTTCGCAAACAGACTTACAAGTTATGTCAGTGATAATTTAGTGATTTATATTCAGAGCTGTAAAAACCAAGCTGAAACGTTAACCTCAAATTTATCAAAAACAAAAAGTTGATCTCCACTTTCATATATAACAAAAATAGAACTTGGACATTTTTACCAATATGTTCCTAAATAATAGACAGACATATTTTATATACAATTTATATGCAAACATATTTTGTAGTTGTAAAGAAGGTAAAAAAAACATAGGATGCAAAAGTACTTAAATGATAAAGATTCAAGGTCAATCAAGGTTGTTAAAATTTCGATGATTGTAATTTTCCACTAAGGTTTGAAAATGATATAAGAATTATATTCTGTGTCAGTTTCTCTAAATTTGCATATTTAAATACATTTATTGTTGAAAACTATTTCCTAATTATTTTGGTCCTTTTTTTCCAGACTTTTAGAGAGGGTGCAGATATGAAAGATATCAAATCTTTAGAAAAGATGGAGAGGTTCTTAAAGCTTTGTCATAAGGACATTGTAAAGAAATGTTTTGGGTAGGTAGTCTTAAAATTCTTAAACTAAAATTTACTTTACTTATCATGTGTATTTTTAGTTCGATAGCTATACTTTTCAGCATTAGTTTGTTAACCAAAATTCTTGCAAGTGATCTTCTGTTTATGTTGTGAAAGAAGGATTTAAAAAAATGTTACTTGATTGCTAAAATAATGTGTCAGTAATATATAAAGTATTGCATTCTTAACGTCTAGTGGCAAATATTTAGGTTCTGTAAGGTTAGCAAACCAGGATGAATGATGTGAAATTTGTATTTCCACTTGGAAATGAGCGTATGTTGGATAAGAGTAGAAGTTTTTCTCTGCAACAGGCCACTTGTGGACCCTCAGAGAGTTGCTGCAAAGGTTCTCTAAAGTGAAGAGAAAGTGGAACTCACCCTACCAGGGGCATCAGATTTAACATTCTAACCTGACATATCAATTAGCGAAAATAGACTATGAATATGTATAAACAAAGTAATTCATTACGTTCAGTATATCCATACAGTTTTTTTATTGTTTGTTTTTTTGGTTTTTTTTGAAAGAAACAATTTAAGAATCTAATAAACATTTTCTTTGTTTCAGTGACCAAGCAAAATGTATATCCTGTGAAAATCCTATAGAAGGGGCACCTGTCAGACTGCCTTGTGATCATGTGATATGCAGGAAATGCTTTTATGACTGTGTCACACTGAAGGAATTTGAATGTCCAAGCTGTCATGAGAAGTTTCCTGGTGATTTGAATCCTGATAAATCTGAGAATGTGTAAGAAAGAAAAGATTTTTTTGTAATGTAAAAGAAGAGCATCATTATACCCCCACTCAGAAGGAGGGGGTACAAGGCTTCCAAAACAGTCATATATTCCGGACATTTGTGTAATGTCCGGTAAAAGTCCGGCTGGACAAAGCATGAAACGGTCATCTACTTTTTAGTTTTCAAGGCTTTCTTAAGAGACGGTCATTTTAACATAATTTGCGATCTTTTTGACCCAACCTTTTGTCTTTAACAGCCACACATTTTCGGTCATAAAAGTGACATGATCATTAAGTACTATCAAAACAACCCCTACTTTAATACCTTCTCATTTTAATCAAGGCTAATTAGTTGTCGAACAGCTGAAATTTACCTGTTCAGGTGACAGGTAAACTTTTTTGAACCGGACATTGATCGGTCTATACAAAGTTATTTTCTTACATTTCAGCAGTTTGCATCTAATTAATCTAGTCAAAAAGATTTAAATTGTCAGAAATACGTACACAAATATGATTTGATGAAAAAATTAAAAAGGTGAAAATCATAAATCGTCATAACCACGTTGTTAGCACCAGAGACATGTCTCTGTTTGAACTAGTACACGTGTATGCATATTATACCATTGTCAAGATAACATCCGGTATTAGATTAAAAATGAAAGTAAAGTTTTTGACAACGTTATTTTGCACAAATAAAGAGTCTAAGGCAGATATAAGTACGCTGATGTTTCACACTTCGAATTTGAATCAAAGAAAGTTTAATATCAATCATTGGGATGGCCAACTCGGCAACTGAATACCATAATTACCTTTTGTTTATTTAGTCTTAAGGGATTAAAATCGGGATAATATATAAAATGTCCGGCTGGCTAAAAATAATTTTGGAAGCCCTGAGGGGGTATACTGGTTTATATCCATCTGTCCATGTTTTCATCTGTGCTTCCCATAATATTTTGGTTGAATTTTTATCAGAAACTACAAATTAGGGAACAACCATTTAACTTCAAGGGGAAAAGGGGGGGGGGGGGGGTTATGGTTTTTTGTCTGAGTCAGAAATAATTTGTTGTTTTTCAACGCTATCAATCAAATTATTTTTTTCAAAATTTAACACTATAAGGTATGGGGAAAATCTGGTTTCAGAATATTTTTTTTCATGTTTTTTGTCATCTGCTTGACCACAATATTTTTTTTCATCAAATTGGGGATCAGAATATTTTTTTAGGAAAAAACCATAACCCCATCCTTGAAGTTAAATGGTCGTTCCCTTAGAGTTTCTGAAATATTGAATCAAGCTTTAATATCATCTAATTATTGATGCTCATGAATTTCATGTTTACTGAATACTAAGGTATTCTTTCACATATTGGCCAAGAATGAAATTTTTGGCATATTTTTCTCAGGAACTACAAATCAAGGTTATTCTAAAATTCAGAGTCAATCCTCATGTAAGCATGCTATATCTTATGATGTGTTTTTCATCAATCACTCATCAACTTCCTGTTTACCAAATACTTATTTTCTCAGGAACTACAAATCAAGGTTATTCTAAAATTCAGAGTCAATCCTCATGTAAGCATGCTATATCTTATGATGTGTTTTTCATCAATCACTCATCAACTTCCTGTTTACCAAATACTTATAACAGGGGTATCATAAGTGAGCAATTGCTTACAGTTCAACTTGTTTTAATTGACAGTGGTGAAATAAGAAAGTACCAGGATTACAGGACACGATGTAACAGTTTCTTCATGGAGGTGGTATCGCAGCTTTGTTTTGCTGAGGGAACACCTCCGTCACAGGAAGTGATTGAAAAGCTCTTGTCCTACATCATAGGCCACAGTAAAGGGAAGAAGGTAGAAAGAGTGGTGTCAAGAGAACTGACAATCTTTGATGATTCAATAGACCCAACCCCAGTTGTGCGATCATTCTTATTACAACAGTGGGAAAAGGGGGGGGGGGGGGGGTTATGGTTTTTTGTCTGAGTCAGAAATAATTTGTTGTTTTTCAACGCTATCAATCAAATTATTTTTTTCAAAATTTAACACTATAAGGTATGGGGAAAATCTGGTTTCAGAATATTTTTTTTCATGTTTTTTGTCATCTGCTTGACCACAATATTTTTTTTCATCAAATTGGGGATCAGAATATTTTTTTAGGAAAAAACCATAACCCCATCCTTGAAGTTAAATGGTCGTTCCCTTAGAGTTTCTGAAATATTGAATCAAGCTTTAATATCATCTAATTATTGATGCTCATGAATTTCATGTTTACTGAATACTAAGGTATTCTTTCACATATTGGCCAAGAATGAAATTTTTGGCATATTTTTCTCAGGAACTACAAATCAAGGTTATTCTAAAATTCAGAGTCAATCCTCATGTAAGCATGCTATATCTTATGATGTGTTTTTCATCAATCACTCATCAACTTCCTGTTTACCAAATACTTATTTTCTCAGGAACTACAAATCAAGGTTATTCTAAAATTCAGAGTCAATCCTCATGTAAGCATGCTATATCTTATGATGTGTTTTTCATCAATCACTCATCAACTTCCTGTTTACCAAATACTTATAACAGGGGTATCATAAGTGAGCAATTGCTTACAGTTCAACTTGTTTTAATTGACAGTGGTGAAATAAGAAAGTACCAGGATTACAGGACACGATGTAACAGTTTCTTCATGGAGGTGGTATCGCAGCTTTGTTTTGCTGAGGGAACACCTCCGTCACAGGAAGTGATTGAAAAGCTCTTGTCCTACATCATAGGCCACAGTAAAGGGAAGAAGGTAGAAAGAGTGGTGTCAAGAGAACTGACAATCTTTGATGATTCAATAGACCCAACCCCAGTTGTGCGATCATTCTTATTACAACAGTTGATGCAAACAAGGTAATTTGTATCTCCGATTATTTTGATTTGATTGGATGTTGTATTGTAATTGTGCTGTAATTTGAATGCAAATTTTTTTGGTTATTAACATTTGCTGTAGATAGGTTGGTTTCCTTGGAAAAGTTTTTATAGTTAACCAGTAATTTCAAAATTTCAAACAGAATTCCTAGATTCAAATAAATGAAGGCCTGTATTGTAATTCATTACCTTGAAAATTACTGTAAGATTCTTGATGATTTTGTAAATTCAGAAATTATCACAATATTTTTATTATTGCGAAAAATGTGACAGTATCGCAATGATAAAACTTGCATTCATAATTTCAGTTGTGATTTTCTTTCATAAAATGATTTTAATTGCATTAATCAGATTTCACATTTTTGCCAGAGGATTCCCAATAATAAATGCATGTATTAATTTTTGAATATACAGTACTTAAAACCTCAATGTTCAAAATTTGTTTGAAAAATGTGTTGATATATGAACCCTACAGAACAGACCAAAATTCATCTTTTCTTTCGTAATTGAATGTTCCAAAATTAATCAAAGTCTTATACATGTACATGGATATGTGAACATGCATAAGGTTGATTTTTATTTGTTAAATGTTAAGGCAAGTAATTTTTTAGTCGAGAAGGTCTTTGAATTTTGTTTATGTTTCACCAAGGAGAGTGGAAATCTGACAAATGAAATTACTTACCATCATTGCATTTGTTCTAATATTTAAATATTTACCAAACAAAAGAACAATTATACTCAATGATCTACAAAATTATTTCAGTGGTCATGAGATTGAGAGCCATCTGTTAGCCTACTTTAACTATGCTGATAGATTAGTAGGAACTACAGGGGACAAACAACACCTTATTGAATTATGTCTTCTAGTTATGACCTGTATGGAGGTATGTTATTATAAATCCAGCAAAAAAAGGTTTGGGGGGTGGTTATTTACTAATTACACTGTCCAAACATTTGTCTGTCTGTCTGTCGAGCTCTTTAATGGTTAAATGCATATTAATGATACTTTACATAGTTGTAGAACATTATCTTAGGATATGCATAGAGAAATATACTGCTCATGCAACATATTTAAGGGGAAATAATCCAGTTAATTCACTTCAAAGTACTTATGGTATTTAGTTTTCTACTTTAATACAGAGTTACAAGATACTGAAGTTGATTTGATGTACCTTTTTGCCTATATAGAAAATAATATTTGTCCATGGTACTCCTAATCTAATATTTGATACCTGAAAATATGTTATTTTTAAAAAAAAAATCAAGTGTAAGAGAGCAATTAGTAAAAATTAACATGATAAAAAAATGTTTGTTTCCAATTTCAAAGGAGTCATTATCTTAAAGAATTAATTGTGGTCAGTATCTGAAATTTCCATGCTTTCAATGTGCAGCTTATCAATTTATCATTCATAAAATATTCAGAATTGTCTCCCTTTTATAATAGCATTTGAATAAAGATTGCAGAAATTACTAAAGTATCAATTTCATTATATTTTTGTTTTATGAATTTTAAAAAAATGTCAACATTATCTAAATATATTTCCTTGATTATTAATGTTAAAATATTTTGATATCATGTGAAAAAAACTGGAAACAGGCACTTTATTTGGATTCAATATAAAAGTATTTGTATTTGTATTGTAAACACCAATAGATAATTTTTGGTGTTGTTATTTGATTGCTGTCTTATCAGACATACACACCAAAATCTTCATTTAATCATATTTTTTAAAAATATATTGTTTTAATTTCCAGGACTCATTGCATCAGCAGTATGCAAACAGAGAGGATGAAATTACTATGGCAACCAAAATGTTAAGAGATGCAGTTCATAATATAACGGGTGACATTGAATTGTTAGATAAAATTGACAATCTTTCCAAAGTGAGGTTTTCATTGACGGTTGTTTCTAAATATATACACAAGCTTTATGGTACAGCACAGAAATCTATGCCAGATCCTACATTGAGGAAGTTATTTGACGCTGCTTCTAAACTGTGTGAAGAATGTAGATCTCCATGGCCAAGGTATATATATTTATTGTTTAAAATTTGATTTTTTTTTTCGTTGTAGAATGAGCATATATTTACAAAAATAATCTGTTTTTTTTTGTGTGGTTAAACATATATAGTTCAACTATGTATTAAACATTTCAAAGACATTCAATTATCCTGATTATTAGCTCATAAAATTTGTAAATCTTTCAATCAATCATCTGATCATACAAATTTTTTAGTAGCTTTATTTCGTAAAGACAGAAAATCAAGATAAACTTTTTTTACTAGATTTCAGTTGAAGTAATTTGATACATTTGATTTTTAAATCTCGACTTGTGATTACAGTACTAATCTTAAATGCCTTTTTCAGCACTTTCAAGCTTTGATTCTTTTGTGCTAAAACATATCCATCAATGAGTCACAAACATCATGCTTATAACCTTTTATCCATTTGTCCTCAATATGCATGAAATTTGTGCCACTAGACATTAAGCAAACAACAGCCAATAAATCTTTTCTCCATACTTTTATTGACTTTAAAAAATCTGCTGCTTGAATTGCTAATTTCCACTTTTTTTAAATGCAGTATGACATACATGTATTAAATAATGATATATGTTACAGGAGATACTTTGTGAAACAGTTGTGTCGGTGTTATGGAATAGACAGTTATCAAACAGTTGTAACAAAAAGTGAAGCAAGCTTCCTTCGATGGGTCCGTCTGCCAGAATTAAAAGGAAATAAGGTGAAAATTTGAAGGCTATATTATGATTTCATAATTATTTTTTTTTAAATGTCAAACTAGATTTAATTGGTTTTTATGTATTTTTGTATTGTGTGGCTTATATTAGCATGGTGATACTCCCAGGTACTGTAAGTCATGTTGCTTTGTCATTTTTGTATATGGATATCTTCATCCTCATTTACATCCCTGCTTTTTAAAGTTGACATAATATATAGTGATTAGGGAGTCTATCCGTTCGTTTGTTCTCTTGTTTTTTCTTACGTTTTCGTTTGTTTGTCCTTCTGTCCTACTTTTGTATCTGCAACTGCATCTGAACCTATGTTTAGGGATACTGTAATTTAAAAAAGGGGCATGATTAATACAACAACACATGCAACTTTTCGTTATACTGGACAAAATTATTTTTGAAAGAATTAAAATTAAAATGTAACATGTGCTTAAATGGCTTCATATTTACATTTGATTATAGGTAGAAGAATGCCATGACAGATACATTGTGACTGGTGATGAATACAAAGAACTGAGAGAGACCATTGTTACTGCAGTTCTCAGTGAAAACAGTGAAAAACTAGAACTCTTACTACAGGTATGTTTGGTGCAATTTGTGATGGGTTACAAAGTTAAAACATGTAGAACTTAAACATTTTATGTATAAGCATTGTTATTGTCCCCCGCTGCAATGCAGTGATATCCCTTTGTTCATACACCAACACAATTATTGCCAAGTTTTCGTGAAATTCATTTCAAAGTTTTATATTAGTCTCGAACTTATTCAAAAATTATATTGCTGATCAACTATTTTTAAAGGAGTTATGCCCCTTGGAAATGTAAATTATATGGAAAATTGCATTGTAAGTGCTCTCAAGCCTATATTTCTTGTAATTTTGTTATGAAATTTATGTCAAATGTTAATATCAAAAATGTCTCAGAGGAGATTCAAAATCAGCACTGATCAAAGATTTTTACAGGAATTTTGTACATTGGATATGCAATTTCTATTGAAAATAAATTAAGTGATTTAGATTGAGTTATACTAATATTTTAAGAAAATAGTTTTAAGTAAAATGCTGTATGCGAATAAAGATTTGAATTTTAAAATGAGTTTATTTGTTTTGTAGAAACCACCCAACGAATGGCAGACTAGAATCAAATTACTACTGGCTTTACATAGAGAGATGACTATGAATAATGTGTATGGAGGCCAGCCACAAAAATTCACAGAGAAGGTTAGTAAACTGTTTATATACTTTTCTTTTGAGAATAAGGTTTTGGAGTGGCAATTGTTGCCATCTTTTCTGTTTTAATTGATTGAATTTGCTGATTGATGCACAATGAGTGCAGTGATTAGGTGATTTCTAAATTACTTCATTAGATCTGATATGTATTGTTTGTTATATGAACTAAGACCCCTTGTTAGTTAAACTCCTGCTGTTTGACCTTCATAGTATTAAAGACTCAACATATTATTCAGTCATAATCAGTTTTGCAGGCTAAAGTTTTTTGTCCACTCTTGTTGTTCTTTTAAATTCCTGCCTATGAATAAAAGGAGTGTTAAGTGTATGTTACTGAGACAGCAACCCATTGACAAAAATAACCAAAAGACATTTAGAGGTCGATACACTAGTTGTTCTTTAAAGATAGACAGGCTTCTATTCAATATTTTAAGCTCTAAATCAACCTGAGTCTATAAAAGATGTGAATAAATTTAACAGGAACGATCAAATACCTGCCATTAACACAAAACTCTCAAAATGATGTAAAATTTTATATGTTCATTTATTAATTGCAATTTATGATAGCTTTTAATGTTTCCAAACTATGTTCACATTTTTTCATAGTAAATAAAAATTTTAGTTTTTTCTTCAAATTTAGATGGGATGATTTTACATTTACATTTTGCATTTGTATCATTTTAGCATTTCGCATTACCCTTTATCAATCCACCTTACAATATTGTGGATTCATTATTAGTCCCCTACCGACGAAGTCGAAGGGGACTTTAGGTTTGCACTCCATCTGTCTGTCTGTCTGTCTGTCTGTCTGTCAGTCCGGCAGTCCAGCAAATCAGTTTTCCACACTTTTTTTCTTCGTGCTTGAAGATATTGATTTGATATTTGGTGTATTGTTTAATCATGACAAGTTACAGATCAAGTTTGAATTTTGTTCTGGTCTTATTATTTTGTGCAGAGTTATGGTCCTTGGACTTAAAAAATTCACTCAAATAATCAATTTTCCACATTTGTTTTTGTCATGCTTGAAGATATTGACTTGATATTTGTTAATAGTTTACATCATGACAAGTTATAGATCAAGTTAGCATTTTGTTCCAGTATGATGAATGAATTTTTAACCGGTAGAACTATGTATTGCCAGGCAATACTCACAGAATGCTTGTTATTTGTGGGATCCCAATTTTCGTCAATTTTGTTGGTAAAGTTGAACCATGAATTAGATGTTCAGCTTTGTACTAATTTTCAATAGGCTTGTATACACACTTTGGCAAAACTACAAAATCGTCCACGAAACTACAATTTTTCCTCAATCCACAAAAATTGTTACAAACAAAAATGAATCCACAGTAAATGGAATCAGACTAGGATATAGTCAGTCATATTTTACAGTTTGACCAATCATGTTTAAATAATCCTAAAACATAAATAATATTCTTTCATATATAAAAACAAGAAGAAGTGGTGTGAATGCTAAAGAGGCAACTATCCAACAAGACCAAAGACAAAGATGTGGAATTTGATGTTCAGTAGTTGTCGTTTGTTGATGTGGTTCATAAGTGTTTCTCATTTCTCGTTTTTTATATAGATTAGACCGTTGGTTTTCCCGTTTGAATGGTTTTACACTAGTAATTTTTGGGGCCCTTTATAGCTTGCTGTTCGGTGTGAGCCAAGGCTCCGTGTTGAAGAACATACTTTGACCTATAATGGTTTACTTTTATAAATTTTGACTTGGATGGAGAGTTGTCTCATTGGCACTCATACCACATCTTCTTATATCTATATTATGTGAACAATTTTAGGTCACAAATAAACTTCATTTTAATATTTTTCATTTTAATCATTTTCTAGGGAAAGGACTTTCTAAATGAGTTCATAATGAACCATGTGATTGTTAGAAATAAGGTAAGGAGTGATTAATTCAAAAATACAAATAGAGTCAGTCAATAAAAAAGGGGGGAGAGGACATAGCAAAAGAGAGGCGAAAGATACCAAAGGGACATTCGAACTCATTCATAGCTAGGAGACAATCAAAAGTCATTAAGCTAAAAATGGTAGACAACCTATTTCCATAAGAAAAAGCAAAATGGACCTACAGCAGTCCACAAAACACTGCACAAAAGACTGAAGGTTAAGCAACACAGACTCCATTAAAAAAAATGAATGAACTCAGGAAGGGTAAGCAATTTCTGCATCACAAGTGGCACCTATCATGTTACTCTTTTCAAGTTACAATCTGGTGATAATTTGCATTGGTGATGTACAAAATATTTAAGATTATTATGAATGAAAGGAGCCACTATACTGAACAATACTGATATGTTAGAGAGAGAAAAACAATTTGAAAAATCTATTTCACAGAAACAAATTTGCTTGCCATGACATTTACAGGCTTAAAACTTGACTTTATGTGGCTCAAATACTCTTTTACATGTTATACAGGTACACCCAGATTTTTTTTAACCAGAAACTAAAAAAATCATTTGAAAAAAAATAAAGAAACTTAAGCAGTATTTAAAAAGAAATCCATAAAAAGAAGGGAAAATATAAATAGATTTTACACAAAAGTAGACTTTTAAAGATATCCATTAGGTAGAAACCCCTAGAATTATCAGTTTTCAAGGAATTCTTCAGATAACATAAATCTGAATAATTTTAGGAAATAACACAGGGTATATTGAAAAATACCTTATGGAGATTACCAGGAAACATTATACCTGGAATGGAATTAGCTGACCAGAACATTTCTTGTCTACTGACACATTTTCTTGTAATGATAGTGGAAATTCCAGGGAAGACAACACTTCTTACCCCACTACACAGAATAGCTCTGGCCCCTCAAGGCATGGCTGTAAGTATAGATCAGTTTTAACTTGGATATGTACTCATTTTTATGCCCCACCTAGGGGCATTATGTTTTTCAGTCTGTGTGTCCTTTCGTCCGTCCGTCTGTCCCTCTTCAGGTTAAAGTTTTTGGTCAAGGTAGTTTTTGATGAAGTTGAAGTCCAATCATCTTGAAACTTAGTACACATGTTCCCTATGATATGATCTTCCTAATTTTAATGCCAAATTAGAGTTTTGACCTTAATTTCACGGTCCACTGAACATAGAAAATGATAGTGCGAGTGGGGCATCCGTGTAATATGGACACATTCTTGTTTTAATAGTATTTATTCTACATCTGTATCTAAATTATTAGAACATTTTAGCATCAAAAAATTAATTTATGACAGAAAAAAAGGAAATGTGGAGTGAAGGTCAAGTAACCCAACAACACAATGAACCAAATAGTTTAATCATCAAAATTTTAATAGCTAAAGCTTGACGAGCTTTCAATAAATTGCACTATTTTAATGAAAAGAAAAAGAAAATACACCAAGAGGTTCAGTGAAAGAATATGTTTTCTCTAATCATTGCATACACATGACCAGTCTTTTCTGATAAAGGTAAACCCAGAAAAGCACTTCAGACACACAAAATTTGTAAATTGTTATTATCATTTTTCACACTACAATTTCTTTAAAAAAAAAATGTGGAACTGAAGTCAAATTTGAAGGAACTTTTATTTTCAGTCTGTAAAACATTGTAGATAAGAGAGTTGTATACTAGTCAGTGTGTCCTCAGCTTAGATTTTACAAATAGTAAAAGAAAAATAGATTGAATGACAGTGTATAATCTTGTACCTTTTTTGGCAGATTGGATTGTGTCAGAGTAGCTAGTTTTAAAACCTTGCATTTTAGTCCCCTACTGATGAAGTCGAAGGGGACTACAGGTTTGCATTCCGTCTGTCTGTCTGTCTGTCTATCCGTCAGTCAGGCAAATCAGTTTTCCACACTTTTTTGCTTCGTGCTTGAAGACATTGATTTGATATTTGGCATATAGTTTTATCATGACCAGTTACAGATCAAGTTCGAATTTTGTTACGGTCTAATGATTTTGTCCAGAGTTATGGTCCTTGGACTTTGAAAAATTCACTCAAATAATCATTTTTTTATACTTTTTTTCGTCATGCTTGAAGATATTAATTTGATAATTGGTATATAGTTTCATCATGACAAGTTACAGATCAAGTTCATATTTTGTTACGGTCTAATGATTTTGTGCAGAGTTATGGTCCTTGGACTTAAAAAAATCACTCAAATAATCAGTTTTCCGTACTTTTTTTCGTCATGCTTGAAGATATTAATTTGATAATTGGTATATAGTTTTATCATAACAAGTTACAGATCAGGTTCGATTTTTGTTTTGGTTTGATGAATTTGTCCAGAGTTGTGGTCCTTGGGCTTTGAAAATCCACTCAAATAATAAGTTTTCCACACTTTTTTTCATCATGCTTGAAGATTTTGACTTGATATTTGTTTTATTGTTTACACTGTGACAAGTTATAGATCATATTAGCATTTTGTTCCAGTACAATGAAGTTTTAACCAGTAGAGGACTATGTATTGCCATGCAATACTCACAGAATGCTTGTACTATTTATTTTTACAGAATTCCTTTTTTCCTACAATGCCACAAGATGAAGTATCAGAAATAAAAGAAGCTCTTCTGGCTGCCAGACAGCAGACTGGGGAAAATCCAGTGTTTTACAGTAAGTGAAACGTGTTTAAAATTAGAACATTTAGAAAAAACCTTGTAGTATCAGAAAGGTTTTATATTTATACCGGGGATTCATTATTATTCATGGGATACTAATTTTCTTGTTTCCAGGTGAACCACAAATTCAAGTATTCAACAAAATACAAATTCTTTTAAGCTTGCATGCATGTATAAACCATGAATTCAAGTATCCCCAAAAATAAAGGAATCCATAGTATTTAATATCTTGTTAGATCACAATATAAAAATAAAAAGATATGATATGATTGTCAATGAGACAACTCTCCACCAGAGACCAAATGATGTAGAAGTAAGCAACTATAGGTCATCGTCTAAAGTGACCGACAAAGAGACGGAAAGTGAGACATAAGGATTGCTTTTCCGTCTACGGCGGCGGCTGCGTTGATGGCATCAACAATTGGTAAGTTTTCTGCTTAAGTTAGATTGATAGGAACTACTAGTGATAGATCAATTATATTTTGTGTGAAGTTGCATTGCTATCAGTACATATCAGTTTGATGACTATTTTGAGGCCCTGCCTCCTAGGCCATGGTTCAGTGACTTTCAATTCATTAGCAATTTTCAATGATAAGTTAGTTTGATATGAACTACTTGCGATAGATCAATGATATTTTCTATAAAGTTGCATTACTATCAGTACATATCAGTTTGACAACTATTTTAAGGCCCTGCCCCCTAGGCCATGGTCCGGTGACTTTCAATCAATTAACAATTTTCAGTGTTAAGTTTTATGATTAAGTTAGTTTGATAGGAACTACTTACAAAAGATAATATTTTCTATAAAGTTACATTGCTGTTTGTCAACCATTTTGAGGCCTTACTCACTAGTTGGTCCAGCAACTTTGAATTAATTAGCAATGTTGCTGTCCATCAGATTGTGTTTTTCTGAATTTTATGCCGAAAGGCGAGACATATCTCTGTGTCAATAGTTTATTGTATTTTTGTACTAAACAATAAACGAAAAAGCAAATATGATATACAGCAACAAACATAAAAACACTGAATTACAGGCTCCTGACTTGGGACAGGCACATTACAAAATGTAGCAGGGTTAAAATGTTAAGACAAATTAAAGAACGATTTTGGCCGATTTTAAATGCTTTCTATACAAATGTTCACTTATTTTGACAGAATTCAATCGATGATATTTCTGAAAATAAAAAGAGATATAAATGCATTATTTTTTCAATTCTCAGATATATTTCAACAAGCCAAAGTTGTATGCAAAATTTTACCAAAATCTGTGAAATAGCCCTTTACTGTAACTTGACCTTAATGATTTATTTAACAACTTCTTTTTTAGGGTGTCCTAATGGTCATCCATATGTAATAGGAAATGTAAGTAAACTATGGTAATTCCTGCTATCAATAAGATGGTCGTACCAATTTGTTAAAACACAGTTAATAATGAGCTTCAAGGAGGAAAATATGTGAAATAAAATTTGCAAACCCATTGCTAGAAAATAACCCTTTTAAACCACCTGCCAAAAAGTATCATATAAATTTTTTCATCTGTATGTTAAAAAAGGGAAACTGGAAGGTACAAAATGTACTAAGGTTAAATAAATATATATAAAAGCAATGGAAAAGATACTAATACAAAAAGCAAGGACATAAATATGTATTCTCAGGGGTTGGCAGTTTTGTACTGTGTTTTGAACTGATAGAGTTATTTTCATGATATTGATTTGTTCATGTAAAAATTTATTTGTAAAATATAAAAAAACAATTTTCATATTTTAAGTAAAATATTTTCTCCCAGACATTGAAGCTTGCAATTGTATACTGTCATTTTTGTTTTTTTTTTATATTCTGATTTATAGAAATAAGGAGATGTGATGTGATTGCCAATGAGACAACTATCCACCAGATATGTCATGTTTGTTGCTTTCCTTGTTTTGATAAATTTAAATACTATTAAGACACTAAGGTTCCAACTCACTTAGACAAAGCTGACCTTAGGTGCTTTTGGCTATTTTTTCATGGCCCTTTTGATTATAGCTCCTCAAATGTTCAGAATTAAGCTTTTGAGTGATGAAGGTTTATGTAGAAAAGCAATTTCAGAAAAAACATATTTATATAGTTCTTACTTTTTAGCTCACCTGGCCCAAAGGGCCAAGTGAGCTTTTCTCATCACTTGGCGTCCGTCGTCCATCGTCGTTAGCTTTTTACAAAAATCTTCTCCTCTGAAACCACTGTGCCAAATTTAATCAAACATGGCCACAATCATCATTAGGGTATCTAGTTTAAAAAATGTGTCTGATGACCCCGCCAACCAAACAAGATGGCCGCCATGGCTAAAAATAGAACATAGGGGTAAAATGTAGATTTTGGCTTATATCTCTGAAACCAAAGCATTTAGAGTAAATCTGACATAGGGTAAAACTGATTATCAGGTCAAGATCTATCTGCCCTGACATTTTCAGACAAATCTGACAACCTGTTGTTGGGTTGCTGCCCTTGAATTGGTAATTTTAATGAAATTTTGCAGTTTTTGGTTATTATCTTGAATATTATTATAGATAGAGATAAACTGTAAACAGCAATAATGTTCAGCAAAGTAAGATCTACAAACAAGTCGTCATGACCAAAATTGTCAGTCGACCCCTTTAGGAATTATTGCCCTTTATAGTCAATTTTTAACAATTTTTCATAATTTTTGTAATCTTTTACAAAAATCTTCTTCTCTGAAACTACTGAGACAAATTTAACCATACTTGGCCATAATCATTATTAGGGTATCTAGTTTAAAAAATTTGTCTGATGACCCCGCCTTCCAACCATCATGGCCGACTTGGTTAAAAATAGAACATAGGGGTAAAATGCAGTTTTTGGTTTATATCTCTGAAACTAAAGCATTTAGAGCAAATCTGACAGGGGGCAAAAATGTTCATCAGATTAAGATTTATCTGCCCTGAAATTTTCAGACTAATCCGACATCCATTGTTGGGTTGCTGCCCCTGAGTTGGTAATTTTACAGAAATTTTACAGTTTTTAGCTCACCTGACCTGAAAGGTCAAGTGAGCTTTTCTCATCACTTTGCGTCCGTCGTCCTGCGTCCGTCGTCCGTAAACTTTTACAAAAATCATCTCCTCTGAAACTACTTGGCCAAATTTGACCAAACTTGGCCACAATCATCATTGGGGTATCTAGTTTAAAAAATGTGTCCGGTGACCCGGCCAACCAACCAAGATGGCCGCCATGGCTAAAAATAGAACATAGGGGTAAAATGTAGATTTTGGCTTATATCTCTGAAACCAAAGCATTTAGAGCAAATCTGACATGGGGTAAAATTGTTTATTAGGTCAAGATCTATCTGCCCTGAAATTTTCAGATGAATCGGACAACCTGTTGTTGGGTTGCTGCCCCTGAATTGGTAATTTTAAGGAAATTTTGCCGTTTTTGGTTATTATCTTGAATATTATTATAGATAGAGATAAACTGTAAACAGCAATAATGTTCAGCAAAGTAAGATCTACAAATAAGTCAACTTGACCAAAATTGTCAGTTGATTCCTTAAGGAGTTATTGCCCTTTATAGTCAATTTTTAACCATTTTTCGTAAATTTTTGTAATTTTTTACAAAAATCTTCTCCTCTGAAACTACTAAGACAAATTTAACCAAACTTGTCCACAATCATCATTAGGGTATCTAGTTTAAAAAATGTGTCCGATGACCCCGCCCGCGAACCAAGATGGCCGACATGGCTAAAAAATAGTACATAGGGTAAAATGCAGTTTTTGGCTCATATCTCTGAAACCAAAGCATTTAGAGCAGATCTTACATGGGGGGTAAAATTGTTCATTAGGTCAAGATCTATCTGCCCTGAAATTTTCAGACCAATCAGGCAGCACATTGATGGGTTGCTGCCCCTGAATTGGTAATTTTAAGAAAATTTTGCAGCTTTTGGTTATTATCTTGAATATTATTATAGATAGAGATAAACTGTAAACAGCAATAATGTACAGCAAAGTTAGATCTACAAATAAGGCAACATGACCAAAATTGTCAATTGACCCCTTAAGGAGTTATTGCCCTTTATAGTCAATTTTTTACAATTTTCATAAATTTTGTAAATTTTTGTAAATTTTTACAAAGTATTTTCCACTGTATCTACCGGGCCAAGTTCATTATAGATAGAGATAATAGTAAGGAGCAAGAATGTTCAGTAAAGTAAGATCTACAAACACATCACCATCACCAAAACACATCACCATCACCAAAACACAATTTTGTCATGAATCCATCTGTGTCCTTTGTTTAATATGCACATAGACCAAGGTGAGCGACACAGGCTCTTTAGAGCCTCTAGTTTGTTATTATCTTAGATATCATTATAATATCTAATATCTAATACTATTAGTTATGATTTTAACCTTATTTTACATGATTTCCAAAGCATCAGTAAATACAGGTGAGCGACACAGGCTCTTGAGAGCCTCTAGTTTTTTTATTGTACATGTTGTAAGCTGCCAAAGTTTATGGGTTCATTGACATGGCAATTAAATGTTTTAAAATAATGTATGTATGTGTGTTCTTTTGCATTAAAAGGCAGTCTTACATGTAATATTGTGTAATTGTAGTGTGGACGCGCTGCAACAGTTGGTATTTGTAAAGCCTGTGGGAGGGAGATAGGTGGGGAAGGATATCAACTCAGAGCTGGAAATGAATTGGACACTGGGTAAGTGATTTGATCTGTAATTTTTTTAACTCTTCATTTGAACGCATTAATTCAGATATCTATGTATAAACATATTTTATGTTATTTCAATTTTTCTTCTTTGACGGCACTCAGCATATGCTATGATGAATTTCTTTCATTGATTGACTGAAGTAGGTCACACATTTGGGTTCTTCTTGGGTCTGCAGGTCAAAGGTTGAGGTAACATTACATGTATATGTATATGTATGCAGACTGAAATTTTAGGAAAAAGTAGTGTTTTTGAACATTTTTTTTTATAAAAACAAATTTTGTTCAACTAAGAATACTGTAACTTATTTTTCGCGGAAACTTTATTTCACGTTTAACCCAGGGCTTCCAAAATTATTTTTAGCCAGCCGGACATTTTATATATTATCCCGATTTTAATACCTTAAGACTAAATAAATAAAAGGCATTTATGGTAATCAGTTGCCGAGTTGGCCATCCCAATGATTGACATTAAAAAAAACGATATTAAACTTTCTTTGATTCAAATTCGAAGTTCTGACGTAAACTGTTAAATTGGCAGTGCATCATTCGAAGTGTGCAACATCAGCTTACTTATATCTGCTTAGACTCTTTATTTGTGCAAAATAACGTTGTCAAAAACTTTACTTTCGTTTTTAAATCTAAACCGGATGTTATCTTGACAGTGGTAAAACATGGACCAGAGACGGATACGTAAATTCCGTGTACGTTTGCAAAGCATGAATGAGTGTAATAAGCTCTTTCTACGTTATTTCTTCAAGAAAATATTCGAAATAAATGTGAGATAAAGGTATCAATGACAATTTAAGCATTTTTTGAAGAAATTAGGATGCATAATTAAATTTCACACCTGCGCACATGCGCACAGGTGTACTAGTTCAAACAGAGACATGTCTCTGGTTCAAACAACGTGGTTATGACGATTTTTCATTTTCACCTTTTTAGTTTTTTCATCAAATTATATTTGTAAACGTATTTCTGATAATTTAAATCTTTTTAACTGAATTAATTAGATGCAAACCGCTGAAATGTAAGAAAATAACTTTGAATAGACCGATCAATGTCCGTTTCAAAATAGTTTACCTGTCACCTGAACAGGTAAATTTCAGCTGTTTGACAACTAATTAGCCTTGATTAAAATGAGAAGGTATTAAAGTAAGGGTTGTTTTGATAGTACTTAATGATCATGTCACTTTTATGACCGGAAATGTGTGGCTGTTAAAGAAAAAAAGGTTGGGTCAAAAAGATCGCCAATTATGTTAAAATGACCGTCTCTTAAGGCTTGAAAACTAAATAGTAGATGTCCGTTTCATGCTTTGCCCAGCCGGACTTTTACCGGACATTATACAAATGTCCGGAATATATGACCGTTTTGGAAGCCTTGGTTTAACCCTTTCTAGTCCACTTCGCAGCTATTTAATTTCACTATTTTCTAATTAACTTGATGTAGTTTAATAAGGAAAGATCCAAGTTTTACATATTCACGACGATTTATATTCGTGTTATTTTTCTACTCGCGAAAGTCGCAAAAATAAGTTGGTTTACAGTAATGTGCCTTATTAGAAAAAGTCTTCATTTGATATTTATGTCAATTGGTCAAAGGTCAAGGTTGTAAAAGCAATTAATGGACTTCTTATATCTGTCAATTGACATATATTTCCAGCACACTTTATATTCTTCATTGTACTGGACACAAAAATCTATTTCTTCTACAAATAAAAAAAAAAAGATTGCAAATCATTTTATGCAACCATGGTGTTTTTGAAATTAAAAAAAATTAGTAAGTAAAAAAAATTTGGAATTTCTGTGTTTTTATTGAAGATCTGTTTGCAACAAGGCTAAGCTAGATATATAGCCAACATACACCATGATAACCAGCCTGTATCAGATTGACAAATTTAAATTATTTTTATTTTTCAGTCTTGACAGAACTGAGACAGGACACATATTAGGAAGAGCAACAAACATGGGACCTGTGTCTGCCCCAGAGAGAAAATTACATAGGTCATCATTTGCAGTACTTAGACTGTTAACCCATATCTCTATGTATGTAGGAGCTAATGTCAATCTACTGGTAAGACATGAAATTAAAAAAAGATAAAAGTAACCCTTTTAAGGAATGTAGTCATGAGTTAAGGGAGTTAACTCTTTCAAAACTCATCAAAGATACCAGGCTTATAATTTTATACACCAAATGTTTTGTCTACATCAGAATCATCAGTGGCACTTTCTGTACGGACTCGATAGAAACTATAGAACACATATTCTGGACATGTCCAAAAGTATTTGATGTTTGGGAAGAACTTAATAAATGGATATATTCAAAAGTCCAAATTGAACTACCACTTAATTTAGATATAGTCTTATTTGGGATATTAGAAAAAACAGAAAAAAACTACATAAGAAACCTCATAACATTATTAACTAAATATTATATATACAAAACAAAAATGCAATGTGGACAAGTAAATATTGTAGCCTTAAAAAATTATCTTAAAGAAAATTTGTTTATTGAAAAAATAGTATTTTATAAAAATAAACCATTGCAAAGAGCGTACTCATGCTGGAACCCCTGGCTCCAACTTATAGAATGACTATACAAGTAAACTTTTACGTAATAAATATATCTACCCAATCCATGCTACCCAGGTTAGTTTTCTCTTTTTTTTACCATTATTATTATTTTTAAGTTTGTCAAATGATTCAAAATACCAACTATATGTACTTGTCTCAATTTTGCTGATGTACTATGGACTTACTTACTATGATGATTTATATATGTAGCTTTTGCCAATAAACACATTACAAAAAAAAAAGAATCATCAGTGGCACTTTAATCTAAATTGTTGGAAGGCTAAATCAACTATGAGTTTGAAAAGCATTGAAAACCAAGATTTCTGAAAAGATAGGCTAGCTACAGCTATCCTATGGGCTATCCTACGCCTGGGAGTAGAAATATTTAAATGTTTAATTCAGTAATATGCTTGTTATAGTCAGTTTCATTCAAATCTAGGTTCCTTTCACCCCAAATCATGTTCGCTCCCATTCACATTCGCCCTCTTTCACGTTCGCACCCCACATGTTAGCACCCTGGGTCTGTTTGCATCCCACGTGTTCGCACCCTGGGTCTGTTTATATCCTTTTTAAAGGTTATGTTTTGGATAATTTTTTAATCATGCTTTAGTTAGTGTATTGCTATAACATAGAGATAATAAGTTTTTTTTTTATTGTTTAAAAATAAAGTGACATTTTAAAAACATAAACAGGTTTTGTTTTGTGAAATATTTTTATATACCTTTATTGTTTTTACTCCTACCAAGCTAGCTACTTGTATTTAATTTTACAAGAAAGCTAGTTATAACAGCAATCATGATTTTCTAACATAGAACAATAATACCAATTTAGCTTTGTACATACCAATTAACAGTAATCAATCATAAATAATTAACATTTAATAATTAATCATCTAATCATCCCCAAAAATATTTCATTTGAAAAATAAACGAATTTTTATTCATGAAAATATAGATATTTTGATAAATACATCTGAAAATATATCTAATAATTCAACCTGTATTTGAATAAAAATAGGGTGCGAACAAACCTAGGGGGTGAACATATGGGAATGCTAATGTGTAGGGTGCGGATGTATTTTGGGAGTGAACAGATCCGATACCGTTTCATTGGTGCTTTATAAAACACTGATGGGGAAACAGAGGTAAAATAATCTGTGTAACTTAGAAGCTTAGAATCAATTTATGAAAATAGTTCTAACAAATGTATCAGTGATTTTTAAGAGTTATGTCCCTTACCCAAATCTATCTGCTTTATGAATAATCAGTTGAAAGTTCTTAATCAAGATTTTATGCAAAAAGGAGGTTAATGTTTTCTTATATCATTTTAGGCAGTTTGTCAGTCAATCAAACCAAATATTGAGCAAGCAGATGTCGGTAGATATTTGAAAGAACATATTGACCTTGACCTAACCTCTGTTCAGAATGTCCTTGGTAGAAACAAAGATGAAATCTTGGTTCTGATTCATTTCCTGCTGGCTAGGATTATGAATGAACACACAATAGCTGTCATTGGTAAGTCTCATTTGGATAAATTATACAGATAAAAGATCAGGATTTAATTTGATCAATCATCAAGATTATTTTTTTTCAAAATTGTTATTGATGTCTTTGGTGTTTTGAAGTCATTTTAGAAAAGTCATTTATTAAATTTTTTGTTGCTGCTATGTGATCCCTGTTATAATTAAGAGATCATCTGAAATGATCGAACAGAAAAGTTTAACAAAGATTTAAAGTTATTTTACAGAGTTTTACTTTCAGTATGTCCGATATTTAATGTTCAGACATTTTTCTGGCAATCAATCCAGACCTATTTAGTTACTTTTTTGTCGAGCCTGCGACTTTTGTCGCAGAAAGCTCAACATAGGGATAGTGATCTGGCGGCAGCCGCATTAACTCACTTCTTTTAAAAAAGCTTAATATTTCAGAAGGTAGAAGACCTGGATGCTTCATACTTTATATATATAGATGCCTTATAATATAAAGTTTCCGTTGGTCATATGTCCATTGTCCTTGACCTCATTTTCATGGTTCAGTGACTACTTGAAAAAAAAGTTAAAATTTTTTGTAATGTTATTTTCTCTCTTATTATGAGTAATAGGATAACTATATTTGGTATGTGGGTACCTTGCAAGGTCCTCTTGTCTGTCAGACAGTTTTCACTTGACCTCGACCTCATTTCATGGATCAATGAACAAGGTTAAATTTTCGTGGTCAAGTCCATATCTCAGATACTATAAGCAATAGGTCTACTATATTTGGTATATGTAATGATTGTAAGGTGTACATGTCCAACTGGCAGGTTTCATCTGACCTTGACCTCATTTTCATGGTTCAGTGGTAATAGTTTAGTTTTTGTGTTTTGGTCTGTTTTTCTAATACTGTATGCAATAGGTCAACTATGTTTGGTGTATGGAAATATTTTACGATGTACATGTCAGTCTGGCAGGTTTTATTGTCTCGCTCGACGGAGTCAAAAAACAAGACATAGGTATGCTGTTTCTGTGGGTAGCAGCGACGACGGCGGCGGCATCAACAATGTATTAGTTTGTGATAAGGTCTAGTGTATGGTGAACCACTAGTGGTAGGTCAATGATATTTGGTATGCAGTTGTATTAGCATTGGCACATCTCATTACCATGGAGATAATTTGGCCCCGCCCCCTCAGTCAAGGTCTATTGACTTTGAAACTTTTTCTTAGTTTTCATGTATTAATTTGTGATTAGGTCAGTTTAAGGGGAACTGTTAGTGGTAGGTCAATGATAATTGGTATGCAGTTGTATAAGCATTAGCACATTTCATTTCCATGGAGAATATTTGGTCCTTAACCCTCAGTCATGGTCTATTGACTTTGAAACTTTTGCTTAGTTTACATGTATTAGTTTGTGATTAGGTCAGTTTGAGATGAACCACTAATGTTAAGTCAATGATATTCGGTATGCAAATGTATTGGCATTTGCAAGTTTCATTTCCATGGAGATTATATAACCCCACCCCCTAATTATGGTTCATTGACTTTGAAACTTTTACATAGTTTACAAGTTAATGTTTGTGTTTAGGTTTGTTTAAAGGGAAAGACTTATGAAAGGTCAATGGTATTTGGTATGCAGTTGTATTAGCATTGGCACATCTCATTTCCATGGAGATTGTTTAGCCCTGTACCTTCAGTCATGGTTCATTGACTTTGAATATTTGCTAAACTTACATGTTAAAGTATTGATTTTTTAATTTCAACATTTGCATTATCAAAATAACAAATAGGCGAGACATATCTCTGTGTTAACAGTTTATTTGGCCTTGTCCTCATTTTCACGGTCCATTGCTCAATGTTAAATTTTATACGACCGCAAAAAAATTTTTGTGGTCGTATATTGGTATGACGTTGGCGTCATCGTCGTCGTCCGGCATCGTCGTCCGAAGACACATTAGTTTTCGCACTCTAACTTTAGTTTGAGTGAATGGATCTCAATGAAATTTTACCATAAGGTTCAATACCACAAAAGGAAGGTGGGGATTGATTTTGGGGGTTATGGTACTAACATTTAAGGAATTAGGGGCCAAAATGGGGCCAAAAATAAGCATTTTTGTAACTTCCAGACATAACTTGTGTGTAAGTGTATGGATCTCTCTGACATTGTACCACAAGGTTCCATATCACAAAGGGAATGCTGGGATTGATTTTGGGGGTAATTGCCTCCAAATTTTAGGAATTAGGGGCAAAAAAGGGGCAAAAAACAAGCATTTTTCTAGTTTCCAGACAATGACTTGTGTGTAAGTGTATGGATCTTTATGAAATTGTACTACAAGGTTCCATATCACAAAGGGAAAGCTGGAATTGAGTTTGGGGGTAATTGCCATAAAAGTTTAGGAAAAAGGGGCCAAAAATAAGCATTTTTCTAGTTTCCAGACAATAACTTGTGTTCAAGTGTATGGATCTCTCTGAAATTGTACCGCAAGGTACCATACCACAAAGGGAAGGCTGGGATTGATTTTGGGGGTAATTCCCTCAAAATTTTAGGAATTAGGGGCCATAAAAGGGCAAAAAATTTTACAAGCATTTTTTCTAGTTTCAGGACAATAACTTGTGTGTAAGTGAATGGATCTTTATGAAATTGTACTGCAAGGTTCCATATCACAAAGGGAAAGCTTGGTTTGAGTTTGGGTGTATTTGCCCTAAACGTTTAGGAATTTGGGGCCAAAAAGGGGCAAAAAAACAAGCGTTTTTCTAGTTTCCAGACAATAACTTGTGTTCAAGTGTATGGATCTCTCTGAAATTGTACTGCAAGGTACCATACCACAAAGGGAAGGCTGGGATTGAGTTTGGGGGTGATGAATCATAAGGGGGTTCAAAAAATTGGTGGGGGGGATTTTTTTTCCCTTTTTTTTTCTTTAAAATTTTCCATTTTAAATTGGTTATTTCTGATTTATATATAAAAGCAAATAATAATGATATGCATACATGTGAATCTCCCAACGGGAGTACAATAATCCCGTTTTCAGGGGTCTCCTCCCGACCTCCCGTTGAAGAGAAAAAAATCCAGTGTATGAAATTTTTTCCCCAACATATCATCTCAGACATCTGGTGTAACTGACATTACCTGAAGTTATATTTTACATGTAAATCAATTAGCATGCATAATTATATGGCTTCACTTGTCAGCTTGGGTGTCAAACTTACTGGTAATCAACAATTTTTACCTCAGGCTAACTGCCGTTGTGTAATAAAAACTTTGTGTATTTATTGGGTTACTTCCCTTGATTTATCCTGTTTTAAGTTTCTTTCCTTTCAATAATGTAAATTTTTAAAAGAATATAAATAAAATATAAATTGAACAAATAATCATAAAAGGATGGTAATTAAATTATTTTAAACGTCTTAGGACAAATAAAAAAATAATAATTTGAAAATTATTTGAGGGTTCTATACTTCCTTTCAAGACTTAAATTGAAATTTATATAATAACTATGACCCTTGACTCTAGACCTTATATATATGTTTCTTAATATGCAAATATAAACTAATTGCAATTGCTGATAGTTAAACAAATGTTCTGAATGCACTGATTGTTCTATAGAATAATGATATAAAAGATATGAATTAAAAAATTTAAAAAAGATAGAGAAACTTTATAAGTACAAGGGTACTATAAACATAATACATTCGGATGGAAAGTTGAAGAATACACACTTTAAAAGACAATTTTTACAGCACACGGTAACATTTACGTCAAAATTTATGTCGACTAAAAACCTCCTGATCCGAGTCCTAATCTCCGGACCAAAATTTCCCAATCTCCTGATCTGAGTTTCACAGTCCATCACATGTATGGATATGGTTTGAATAGGTAAATTAAAAATTTTTAAGTTCTTAGACCACTTTCATTCTGTGTCAGAAACCTATGCTGTGTCAAATATTTAATTACAATCTAAATTCAGTGCTGTATCAAGCTTGAATGTTGTGTCCATACTTGCCCCAACTGTTCAGGGTTCGACATCTGCGGTCGTATCAAGCTGCGCCCCAGCGGAGCATTTTATTGTGTTTTGGTCTGTTTTTCTAATACTGTATGCAGTAGGTCAACTATATTTGGTGTATGGAAATATTTTACGATGTAAATGTCAGTCTAGGCAGGTATTATTTGACCTTGACCTCATTTTCACGATTCATTGCTCAATGTTAAGTTTTTGTGTTTTGGTCTGTTTTTGTAATACTGTATGCAGTAGACCAACTATATTTGGTGTATGGAAATATTTTACGATACATGTCAGTCTGGCAGGTTTTATTTGACCTTGACCTTATTTTCACGGTTCATTGCTCAATGTTAAGTTTTTGTGTTTTGGTCTGTTTTTCTAATACTGTTTGCAGTACGTAGGTCAACTATATTTGGTGTATGGAAATATTTTATGATGTACATGTCAGTCTGGCAGGTTTTATTTGACCGTGACCTCATTTTCACGGTTCATTGCTCAATGTTAAGTTTTTGTGTTTTGGTCTGTTTTTGTAATACTGTATGCAGTAGACCAACTATATTTGGTGTATGGAAATATTTTACGATACATGTCAGTCTGGCAGGTTTTATTTGACCTTGACCTTATTTTCACGATTCATTGCTCAATGTTAAGTTTTTGTGTTTTGGTCTGTTTTTCTTAAACTTTAAGCAATAGGTCAACTATATTTGGGTTATGGAATGATTGTAAGGTGTATATGTCAGTCTGGCAGGTATCATTTGACCTTCACCTCATTTTCTTGGTTCATTGGTCAATGTTCAGTTTTCCTGGTTTACTTTGTTTCTTAGATACTATAAGCAATAGGTCAACTATATTTGATGCATGGAATGATTTTAAGGTGTACATGTCTGTCTGGCAGGGTTCATCTGACCTTGACTTCATTTTCATGGTTCATTGGTCAATATAGAATTTCCATGCTTTGGTCTGTTTCTTTTATACTATAAGCAATAAGTAATCTATATTCTGAGTATGGAATGATTGTATTAAAGTAGTACATGTATTTCCGCCTTGGTTTATCTGACTTTAACCTCATTTTCTTGGATCATAAATGTTGATGTGAAACTTGTAGTATAGCTTTATATGTAGGACTATCAACATATAATCAATGGTCAGTATAGTAGGCGAGACATTTCAGCGTGTGCACTCTTGTTTAAAGACAGCTCAGTATTCATGATTTTGCTACATTTTTGTTGTCAAAATTATAGTGTCTAATGAAACATCTATGTAATATGATCATATCATGATATGATATTTATTTACAGGAGAAAATCAAACTCCAAATGTTTGTGGATTACTGGATAAAGCATCAAGATCCAAGTGGGAGGAAGATTTTGCTAAAAGATATATTGAACCTGTTATCCAGGTATATTCCTTTTTGCTTAAACTGTACATTTATTTTTTTTGTAAAATTGTATAGGCTTAAGGAACAGAAGGTATTGAGGTTATTTCATGATTGTTTTGGAGGAGGGGTAGAAAGGGTTGTTGTTGTTGTGTTTTTTATACCCCACCACCCATAATTTTTATTTTCATTTGTAACAGAATTGTATTTGCTACCCACAAATATCTTGTGGTGTCTAACCCTCATATACTTTTAATGCCCCTGCCGTAGCGGAGGGGGCATTAAGTTTTACCCTTGTCCGTTCGTACGTCCCAAAGTTGGTTTCCGTTCTCTAACTTTAGTTTGCCTCAGCCACCACCCATAATTTTTATTTTCATTTGTAACAGAATTGTATTTGCTACCCACAAATATCTTGTGGTGTCTAACCCTCATATACTTTTAATGCCCCTGCCGTAGCGGAGGGGGCATTAAGTTTTACCCTTGTCCGTTCGTACGTCCCAAAGTTGGTTTCCGTTCTCTAACTTTAGTTTGCCTCAGCCAAATGTTATGAAACTTATACACAATGCTTATTACCACAAAACACAAATCAAGTATGAATTTTGGTGACGTCACTTTAATCGTTCTAGAGTTTTGCCCCTTTATAAATGGAAAAATTGCTGAATTTTTTGTTTCCGTTCTCTTACTTTAGTTTGCCTCAACCAAATGTTATGAAACTTATACACAATGCTTATTACCACAAAACACAGATCAAATTTGAATTTTGGTGACGTCACTTAAACAGTTCTAGAGTTATGTCCCTTTACAAATGGAAAAATTGCTGAATTTTTCGTTTCCGTTCGCTAAATTAAGTTAGCCTCATCCAAATTTAATGAAACTTATACACAATGCTTATTACCACAAAACACAGATCAACTTTGAATTTTGGTGACGTCACTTTAACCGTTCTAGAGTTATGTCCCTTTACAAATGGAAAATTTGCTGAATTTTCGTTTCCGTTCTCTAATCTAAGTTAGCCTGAACCAAATGTTATGAAACTTATACACAATGCTTATTACCACAAAATACAGATCAAGTTAAAAAATTGGTGCCGTCCCTTTTACCATTCTAGAGTTATGCCCCTTTACAAATGGAAAAATTGCTGAATTTTTCGTTTCTGTTCTCTAACTTTAGTTTGCCTCAACCAAATGTTATGAAACTTATACACAATGCTTATTACCACAAAACACAGATCAAGCTTGAATTTTGGTGACATCTCCTTAACAGTGCTAGAGTTATGCCCCTTTATAACATTAAATGCAAGCGGGGGCATGATCTGTGTCCCATGGACACATTCCCCATTTATTTTGGAATAGTCCTAAGGTAATTTCCTAACTTGTTTACACAACTTTAGCATACCTGTCAACCTCTGAAACCTGCATTGAGGAGGAAAAAGTCGGGTCATAACATATATGATATTTTTTAATTGAATTTTAGTATGTAGAGGATTTTTTAAATATTCTATAACATATACCAGTTACCTACAAATATTCACAGTTGTATGGTATTTGCTGAAAATTATTTATGCTATAGATGAAATGGATTTTTAATAATAAGTGACAACAAAATAGTTTAGGGACCTTTATCTCCCCAACAGATATGTGTAAAGAGGTTCAAATTGTGTCAAAATGATTTTAATATTATAATTGATATTTGCAAATGGTACATTTCATAAATCAGGACATAATTTGGTATGTCAAGCATGACTGGCTTCAACCTTTCTGGGGTACAATTAATAACATAATATCGAATTATTATTGTAACCTTTCAATCAAAAGAGAGTCAAAAAGCTGTAAATCATTCAATTAAGGGCAAATTATCGAACTTCCTCTCCAGGAAAAATTTTGAATTTCTCATGGCACTAAAATACGGATGAATACAGGTCATTTGAGGAATTCCCTGGTTATTTGATGATCCGGACATGTATTGAAAAATCACGGGTGAGCTGGTAAATTCACCGGTGACACCTGCAAAATATGGGTCAGTTGACAGGTCCTTAGATTCACCTGAACCACATTGCTCTATACACCTAATATTTTATTATGATAGCTCTTTTTGAAATTTCAAAATTTTGAATATATTTCACCTCTTTACAGAGATATTTGTTTTACACATGTTCATTTATGTGTATGTTAATGCACTTTGGATGGTTCTATGATATATTTGTTTCTATCTTAGGACATGCAGAATATCTTGAGAGTGATTACTGGTAAAATCTTGAATGACCAAAGACTTGGTAAGAATTAGTATTAGCTTCATGTTACATCTATAGGTCAGTTGGAACTCAAAACTAGTGCAGTTATACATGGAATATAACAGGAATTTTTTTTATAAAGTACAATGAGATTTTGTTTTGATATGAAAACTGAAATTTTAGTTTCATGGGATAGAGACTCATTATCACATATATAAGAGCATACAAAAGTGAATGTCAATCGTCTTAAACCATATCCATGACCTGAAAAGTGCTACATCCAAATGTTTAAGCATAATTCCAATTTCTTTTATTGTAAGCAACTAAAATGTTAATATTATAAATGTATTCTTAATAAACTGGAATTTGCAAATTATACAAGATACACATTTACTTAAAAATATGATACAATAAAAAATGAAAGGTTGAAATAAAGACAGCTGATTTCAAAACATTTATGTTGAAATACATTTTTAAAATAACACCAAACCTAAATTCATCTTTCAATTTTAGTCTAATTTCAAACATTCACTGTTGAAAACTCATTTACTATAGATCTAAATATTTTTCTTTTTCAGGAGCTGATCCACTGCTTCAGATACTATATGAAACTGATAAACCACAAGATACAGAGGCCGTTGTGCAATTCCATGATGTTCCTTCAGTTTGGAGATATAGGGCTATGATAACTGTTAATCATCTACAACAACATCTTGATGCAGCAACAATGAAATTACATGTTCTAAGATTATTCCTCAAGGAGGTTAGTCTATTTTAATGCCACTCTTCAGATGGCTTGCTGATGACACTTCCCATTCTAGCAGAAATACAAATTTTTAGCAGCATATTTTAAATGATTTAACTGAATTGTGTTTGTTGTATCCAATCATTTGTCTATTCTTTTGTTCCTTTTATTTGTGCATTCATTCATTGCTTCTTTCCACTACTGTATAAATTCTGAAATTATTGCGAGGTTTTTATTAATTCGAATAATGCGACTGCTTGACCATTGCAATAATAAGAACTTGTATTCTGATATTAAATACATATATTTGTATGTAGCTCTTTTCCTAAAATCGCAAATAAATAATTTGCATTTTTATTATTTCTTCAAAAACCGCAATAATAAATGTAAGCAATAATTTCTGAATATACAGTATCCTTTATTTGTGCTTTAGCACTTCATAGCCTGCACTGGCTGGATTTCACTCAAACTTATGAAATTTTTAATACTTATTGATATACTTTTTTTTTAAATTTTTATCTCCCACACCCAATTTGATCCAATACAATTTTCAGTCTTAACAAATTATTATGGTTCACTGAGTTTGATTTCTACAATTTTTAAATTCTCAGTCGTTCTTCTATCTCTGATAATCTCCATTGCAAATCAGTATGATAATAGCTAAACTTTACATTTTCAGGAACACCACTTGAGAGCTATTAGATTTGTCCCTAGTATTATAAGGCTGCAAAAAATGCTGATACAGAAGTACAACAGAAAATTAGACAGAGCTGAAGCTACAACACTGACCATTGCAGATGTTAAAGTACAGATGAGACAAGGTAAAGAAACAGTTAAACAAGACATCTGCTTCTTTTGGTAAAAGGGGCCTCGGTGGCCGAGTGGTTTAAGTAGTTACTACTGTAATCACTAGCCAGTCAACACTGAGGTTGTGAGTTCGAACCCTGCTCGTGCGGGTGCACTCGACTCCAATCTTAATTGACTAGGATTGTCAGTTTTCCTATCGAAGGTCGGTGGTTTTCTCTGGGCACTCCGACTTCCTCCACCAATAAAATATATTAATGATATATACTCAGATATTCAACTTACAAAATGATGAGATGTATATGTATATAACCAGACTTGACCAAGAATGCTATTTTATTAAAAATCCCAGAAATTCCAGAAATATTTGAATAACCAAAATTATAATACTTGGTACAGGCAATGACTGATAAGATATCATTATAAGATCTAGTAATGAATTTTACAAGACTTAAACAAAATTAGAATTGTTCAGAAAACAAGTTTAGTGCTAGTTTAGTATAACAAAATGAAAAGTTTGATTTATGAAGGAATTATTGCATGTTTACCTCCAACATGGTGGCAAAAGTAAATAGTAATAACTCAAATTACATCAATCATAAATTATCAATAGCTTTGGATTCAATATTATATTTGGGGCTCCAAATTGCTGATGGTAAAAAAACAAATAGATATTACACTTATTACTAGTACTTTTAACATATTTTAATTTTTTACTGCATTCCAAATTATATGCAAATGTTTATAATATTTCTTATATCTGATTTAGAGAGAAGACTGAAAGAATTTGGACATTTATTGGAAGATTATATTGAAGCTTGGAACTGTGTTAGAGAATCATTAGAAACATATCGTAAGAACTACAGCCAATTTTCATAAAGGATATTAAATGATTGACATCAAAAATGTATTAACAAAAATACAGATTTTCAAGGTTAATTCACAAAGGGGAAAGTTCATAATACCTGACAAAATCAAACGTTTGACTATATATATCAACCAAAATGAGTGTAATATGTCTCATATAAAGTCGAAGACATATGTCATTGAAAAAACTAAAAGCAGATACAATAATGAAGCACTTGATTGGTTGGACATTATCTGTATTTTTGTGATAGTTTAAAAAAGGCAAAGAGGCCAACAAAAACATTTCCAACATATAATATATGCTTATACTAATGTTCAAACACAGTCATATATTCCATTTCTTTCTGCTAGTAAAAAACATTCTTTTGCAGTAGGTCAAAATTTGTTTACCTAACGTAGCTTCATACTTATTTTTATACGACCGCAAAAATTTTTTGGGATCCTATAATGGTATGATGTCGTCGTCGTCTGTGTCGTCGTCTGAAGACACATTGGTTTCCGGACAATAACTTTAGTTTAAGTGAATAGATCTCTATGAAATTTTTTAAGAAGGTTCAATACCACAAAAGGAAGGTTGGGATTGATTTTGGGGATGATGGTCCCAACCGTTTAGGAATAAGGGCCCAAAACAAGCATTTTTCTAGTTTCAGGATAATAACTCGTGTATAAGTATTTCGATTGCTCTGAAATTGTACTACAATGTTTAATACCACAAATAGAAGGTTGGGATTCATGTTAGGGGTTATGGAGGCCAACAGTTTAGGAATTTAGGGCCAAAAAAGGGCCAAAAATAAGCATTTTGTTCCAGTTTCCAGACAATAACTTTTGTGTAAGTGTATGGATCTCTCTGACATTGTACAACAAGGTTCCATATAACAATGGGAAGGCTGGGATTGAGTTTGGTGTTAATTGCCCCAAACATGTAGGAATTAGGGGCCAAAATGGCCAAAAACAAGCATTTTTCTAGTTTCCAGACAATAACTTGTGTGTAAGTGTATGGATCTCTCTGAAATTGTACTACAAGGTTTCATACTACAAAGGAAAGGGTGGGATTGAGTTTTGGGGTTATTGCTCCAAGGGAGGTTTAAAAAAAAAAGGGGGGGGGGATTTTTTCAGAATTTTTTTATTCATTTTTTTTTTAAAATTTTTAAAATTTCAAAGTTTCAAGAAGAAATCGTCAGTTGCACAGTATTGCGCAATGGATTTATAAGATCTTTGACCACATTTATTTTGTGTCAGAAACCTAAACTATGTCAAAAATTTGATCACAATCCAAATTCAGACAGTATCAAGCTTGAATATTGTGTCCAAATTTGCCCCAACTGTTCAGGGTTCGACCTCTGCGGTCGTATGAGGCTGCGCTCAGCGAAGCATTTTTATACGACTGCGGTCGTATATTGGTATGACGTTGGCGTCGTCATCTGAAGACACATTGGTTTTTGCACAATAACTTTAGATTAAGTGAATGGATCTCTATGAAATTTTACTATGAGGTTCAATACTACAAAAGGAAGGTTGGGATTGATTTTGGGGGTTATGGTACCAACAGTTAAGGAATTAGGGGCCAAAAATAAGCATTTTTGTAACTTCCAGACAATAACTTGTGTGTTAGTGTATGGATCTCTCTGACATTGTACCACAAGGTTCTATATCACAAAGGGAATGCTTGGATTGATTTTGGGGGTAATTGCCTCAAAATTTTAGGAATTGGGGGCCAAAAAAGGGGCAAAAAACAAGCATTTTTCTAGTTTCATGACAATAACTTGTGTGTAAGTGTATGGATCTTTCTGAAATTGTACTACAAGGTTTCATATCACAAAGGGAAGGCTGGGATTGATTTTTGGGGTAATTGCCCAAAACGTTTAGGAATAAGGGGCCAAAAAGGGGCCAAAAATAAGCATTTTTCTAGTTTCCAGACAATTACTTGTGTTCAAGTGTATGGATCTCTCTGAAATTGTACTGCACAGTACCATACCACAAAGGGAAGGCTGGGATTGATTTTTGGGGTAATTGCCTCAATAATGATGAAATAATAATGATATGGTTTGATTTCATCAAAAATTGAAATATTGGGGTTCTTTGATATGCTGAATCTAACCGTGTATTTAGATTCTTAATTTTTGTTCCCGTTTTCAAATTGATCTACATTAAGGTCCAAAGGGTCCAAAATTAAACTTAGTTTGATTTTAACAAAAATTGAATTCTTGGGGTTCTTTGATATGCTGAATCTAACCGTGTATGTATTTAGATTTTGGATATTGGACCATAATAGGTAAATTAAAAATTTTTAAGTTCTTAGACCACATTCATTCTGTGTCAGAAACCTATGCTGTGTCAAATATTTAATCACAATCCAAATTCAGAGCTGTATCAAGCTTGAATGTTGTGTCCATACTTGCCCCAACTGTTCAGGGTTCGACCTCTACTGTCGTATCAAGCTGCGCCCAGCTGAGCATTTTATATTCACTGTTATTCATAGAGTAAAGTTCATACTGTGGATTCAGTATTATTCGTTGGATACCAATTTTCATGGATTTCGTTGGTACAGGGAAACCTTAAATTTAAATGTTCAAGGAATTACAAATGTTCTATATGAATATATACAGACTTGAGTCAAACCAAGAAATCAAATATCCACGAATATGTAAGTTTTCCTTAATCCACAAAAATTAGTACCCACGAAAAATAAATGAATCCACAGTAATAAATTAAGCAATTATATGCAACTGTGTGGCCTTCAACAATGAGAAAAACCCATACCATATAGTCGGCTATAAAAGGGTCGGATATGAAAAATGTGAAACAATTCAAACAAAAAAAACTAAAGGCCTAATTTATAACAAAATAATTTGTAAAAAAACAGATATGACCAACATTTTGTGGGTACAGGTGAATCACAAATTTAACAGTTCAACAAATTATAAATTTTCTATAGGCTTGTATGCAGACTTTAGCAACACCACAAAATAAAATATTCATAAAAATGAAAGTTTTCATCAATCCACGAAAATTGGTACCTATGAAAATAAATGAATCAACAGTGATTTATTTTTAATAATTACTTATACTTTTACAGGGTGTCCAGCCAATGAGATTTTGGTGACAGTTGACAAAGAATATTGTAGGAAGGACATTACAGAGGACACATCAATATCACATCTGATACCTACATATAAGGATGCTGGTCTTTGCTCTTATGCTCTCCTCTTTTTCCTGTTGAAGAAACAAAATATCTTCCTAGATAACTACTGTTCTCAGACCAAGCAAAAGTAAGTTCGTTAAACACATAAATATAGAATTCCTTTGTAAAAATAAGGAGATGTGGTATTATTGCCAATGTGCAGCAATCCACCAAAGTTAAAAAGATCATGAATATGAGCAATTTTAGGTCACTGTATAGCCTTTAACAATGAGAAAAACCCATACCTTATAGTATTAAGCTATAAAATGCCCTGACACAAATTTGCCTTTGTTTTAAAGATTTGACTTATACATCAGTACCTAGTAAAGCTGGAATAATAATTCCCTACTTCAGGAGATATTTGGCTACAGCGTTAACTATCCATAGACCAAAGAACAATGATGTAAACAGCTACAGGTTGTCATATTGCCTTTAATAATGAGCAAAACACAAACTATTTAGTCAGTTTTATAGACCAAACATGAAATAATCCAACTGAGAAAATCAGTGACCTGATTTATGATTCAACAATGAACTGTTATCTACTCTGAATTAAATTTTTCCTGCCAAAAGTAAGTTTCATTTTGCAAGAACTCATTCATTCAATCCTTGCAATTCTATATTACCAGTATGTGATAATTATAATTCAATGAGGCCGTTTGAATCTCAGGTAAATACAAATGGAAAGAAAATTTTCTAGAACTAATATCAGTCATTGTGAGTAATTTATTAGTGTCAACTTTTTATATTTAGACTTTATTAAAGAAATCATTATTTTTCTATATGTGAAAGTCGCAAAAATAAATCACTCACGAAAATTAGTTGGTTTACAGTATTTTGGAACATTATAAAAATGGACCTTGACCTCTTTTTTGCAGAGAGGACAATCTTCCTAAAGTTCATGTGAAGGACATATCATCTGCTCACCTGATTAGTTACCATCCTGACAAAGATCTGTTACCCATGGTGTTAGCAAACTGTAATTATTCATTTGAAGTAGGACAGGGAACCAGAATAGATTACAATGTTACTAACCTTGAGAGACAGTTGATGGACAGATTCCTCTTTTCAAAATCTCTCATCACCAAAATCCATGAGGTAAAATTTTACCTACAAACAACAGCTACTTTGTACTCAACATTCGGTTGAAAAAAAAGGTAGAAGATACCAAAGCAACAATAAAAAAAAACTCAAGTTGAAGAAAGACAGACAATTCTATGGCCAAAAAAAAAAGCGATAAAAGACAAACAACAGTCTACCTTATCAACTAGTGTCACCCCTTGTTTTGCTAATGGCAAGTAACAATTTTGTGATAAGTTGCATTCATTGAAATACTTATTGAGGAAAAGAGAAAGATATACTGTAAATTCAGAAATTTTTGTGAATTTGAATTGCAGATGTTTTTATTAATGCTGAAAATTGAATTTCAGATGTTTTTGTTTATGCAGAAAATGCGACAGAATTAGGTTCCTTATAATAAAAACATGCATTCATATTTTCAGTTGTGATTTTCCTTCACAAAATTTTGCAATTGCACTAATTTAACTTCACATTTTTACCAGTACTTAATGGTTTGCAATATTTAGATTCCACCAATGAATCAAGTGTGTTACGATATTTCTCTACTTGAGACATTTGAAAAAATCATTTGCTGAGAACAAAGTTTTCTCTGGAGATGAGAAATATTTTTCTCACAACGATCAAGAATATGAAAAAAGCATGAAAATTAGAGAAAATAAATGCATGCATTAATTTCTGAATTTACCATAATCTACAAAAATATAATCATGAACCAGGTAACAATCTTTTCAAACTGCATGGTCTATTTAATCAAGCTAAGGTTTTTGTCGAACCTGCGACTTCTGTCGCTGAAAGCTCGACATGGGGAAAGTGATCTGGCAGTGGTAGTGTTAACTAGCTTCTTCAAAGCTCAATATTTCAGAGGGTAGAAGACCTGGATGCTTCATACTTTGTATAGATGCCTTATGATATGAAGTTTCCATCTGTTATATGTCCATTGTCCTTGACCTCATTTTTATGGTTCAGTGATTAAAAAAAAAGTCAAGATTTTTTGTAATGCTAATTTGTCTCTTATTATCAGTAATAGGACAACTATATATGTGCGTACCTTGCAAGGTCCTCATGCCTGTCAGACAGTTTTCAATTGACATCCACCTCATGTCATGGATCAGTGAACAAGGTTAGGTTTTTGTGGTCAAGTTCATATCTCAGAGGTCTACTATATTTGGTGTATGTCATGACTGTAAGGTGTACATGTCCAGCTGGCAGTGTCATCTGACCTTGACCTCATTTTCATGGTTCAGTGGTAAAAGTTAAGTTTTTGTGTTTTGGTCTATTTTTCTAATACTGTATGCAATTATAGGTCAACTATATTTGGTGTATGAAAATATTTTACCATGTACATGTCAGTCTGGCAGGTTTTATTTGACCTTGACCTCATTTTCACGGTTTATTAAGCAATGTTAAGTTTTTGTGTATTGGTCTGTTTTTCTTTAAGCAATAGGTCAACTATATTTGGTGTATGGAATGATAGAAAGGTGTATATGTCTGTCTGGCAGGTATCATCTGACCTTCACCTCATTTTCATGGTTCATTGGTCAATATAAAATTTCCATGGTTTGGTCTGTTTCTTTTATACTATAAGCAATAGTTCATCTATATTCGGTGTATGGAATGATTGTATTAAAGGTGTACATGTATTTCTGCCTTGGTTTATCTGACCTTGACCTCATTTTCTTGGATCATAAATGTTAATGGGATACTTGTAGTAAAACTTTATATTGAGCCCTATTAACATTAAATCAATGGTTAGTATATAGCACACGAGACATTTCAGCATGTGCACTCTTGTCTTTATTTTAAAAGAAAATTTATCAAAATATAAAGAAAACAATGAAAAAGAAACCCAAAAATTACAGAAAAAGGAATTTCATGGTATCATAGTCATGAAATTCTGTTGTTGCCAAAACTTTACCTGCATATAATTTTTGTGGTGGTAAAATAAATCAGTTTGTCAAATGATTTGAGTGTTTTTTTATTACAGATAGAGACAATCACTTATCGATCTGAATCTACTAATGCTGTGGTCTTCAAAAGTTTATATCTGAGAGTTAAACAGGTAAGACTACTCTATTTCACAGCATATTTTCACTTGTATTTTCTGGTCCTTGATTGAATGGGAAATGGAACTTAATTTTGTGTCCTGCAATAATTTGAGAAAAGTTTTACCAATGCTTTTCAAATTTTTAGATGTTGTTAATGATGTCAAAGGTGAGTTAAGTCCTTGATTAATGGGAAAACAAGACTTTATGTTGATTTCATGTGAAAACGATAGAACAGTTGATTACATTCCTTTTTCAAATTTTGATATGTTGTTTCTCATGACAAAATGGAAGTCAAGATTGGATATGATGACTTCATGTTAGCCAGTCATGAGTTATTGCCCTTGATTGTATTAACAATGACACTAATGAATATGAGAAAAATTTGGCTTGCTGTCGTTTTAAAAGCCATGTGTATTTTTTATTTGAATAAGTGCATACTGAAATCAGTATTATATGTTTATATTCCTAAATCAGTGGGTTTTTTTTTAATGATTTCATCGATTCTAGTTTTCACTCTTTAAAAACATATTCCTATATTGAATACAAAATTTTAAAATAAAATGATACTGATAGGAGTATTTAAAACTGGTTTAAATGATAACTAAGTTTTTTTGTCAACTGCTGTGAAAAACCGGAAAAACACAAATATATCTATGGTATATGACATATAGTGAGTATCATTATGAAATTATTTTATTTCAATTAGGAGAGACTTAACCCAGCAGTTTTGAGTCAGATATGTGGAGAATTACGTCTAAAATCCTACCCTGATCTCTGTGAGAGTTTAGACAAGCTAGACATTGCAATTAGCTTTTTGAAGTCTGTAGGATCTGATCCAGAAAGTTCATTGAATGACTTTATGACAAACACACTGAAGATGGACAATCCATTTCCTAGTCAAAAGGTATAGTTTATGTATACTGTGTATTCATTTGTATTTCGTGGATTGAAAAAAAAATTGTATTTTCGTAGATAGGTGATTTCTTGGATTTGTTTAACATTTAAATTTGTAGTTCACCCAGGAAATCCATGAAAATTGGTACCCTTGAATAATAATGAATCCATCATATATATTAGTTCAGTAACACCTGCCATGCCTGTTCAACCTTTACACAAAAAATCAACGATTTAGTTTCGACCCTTTGTTAAAATAGATTCAAATCTGAATGGTAAACTATAGTGCATGTTTAATATTTAAGATCAGCAATTTTCATCAGAAAGCTATGATTACAATATTTTTGTTTAAAGTTAAAGCATATGCTATGCAGTTGTCATGAAGAACTCCATTTTATATTCTATGCGGTTGTGAATGTTACAGCTAGACAACAGAGAAACATTGTGCGCACAAAATGTTGCAAAAAATCTAATATTGGATATTGTAAGGAGCTGTTAGCTAAAATAAAACATAAAACTAAGGATTACTTTTGAATAATGATAAATTCACTAATTATTATACCCCCGCTTTAAAAAAGTGGGGGTATACTGTCCATCCGTCAGTCCATCCATCCGTCCGTCAGTCCGTCCTTCCGTCCCATGAATATTTTTTCGTCGCATCTTTCTCAGGAACTACATTACAAGGATTTTTGAAATTTGGTTTCAGGGTTTATATAAGTCAGCTATACCGTGTGATGCGTTTTCAGATTCATCACTCAACAACTTCCTGTTTACCGTCAAATATTTGGGCGGGGGTATCATCAGTGAGCAGTAGCTCGCAGTTTCACTTGTTTGTTTTTCATTTTGTAGGCACAACAAGCGACTAGATGTAAACATACTATGTCACTGTGGATTACTTTAGCAATGGAAAGAGCTAAATTCCTGGCTAAATACGACAAGGTTAGTAATGTACTCAAAGATTCTTAAAGATAAGTACGAAAAATAAAAGATTGTAGCCAATGTTGACAGTAAAATTACTATGCTTAGCAAATTTGACCTTAAATGAATATGGCTATTCTTATTAGATTTCTGAGGTCATATAGCTCCTTAAGTTTCTATGTTTTTTTATGCCACCGCCATAGCGGAGGGGGCATTAAGTTTAACCCTTATCCGTCTGTCCGTCTGTCCTTCCATCCGTACGTCCAAAAGTTGGTTTCCATTCTCTAACTTTAGTTTACCTCAACCAAATGTTATGAAACTTATGCACAATACTATTACCACAAAACACAGATCAAGTTAATTTTGGTTGTGTCGCTTTAATCTTTCTAGAGTTATGCCCCTTTACAAATGGAAAAATTGCTGAATTTTTCGTTTCCGTTCTCTAACTTTAGTTTGCTTCAACCAAATGTTATGAAACTTATACACAATGCTTATTACCACAAAACTCAGATCAAGTACAAATTTGGGTAGTGCCACTTTTACCGTTCTTCACTTGTGTCCCTTTATAACTTTATATGATATGCAAGCGGGGGCGTCATCCTTTGTGTACCATGGACACATTCCCCATTTATTTTTAATAATATATCTCATGCTTTCACATGTTTAAATTTGAGTGTTAAAAATAATACATACAAGCAATACTAACACTTAAAATTTATAGAGGTTTGAATTTCATGTTTCCAAATTCTCCAAGATATTTTAAAAGCCATCTGTCAATTTTTTTTCCCGTTGCATTACATTTTGTTTTGCCTGGCAACCCTTATACTTCTTAATATTTTTACCCAACTTTCCTCTAACATGTCTAAATGATTTTTTTTATAAACTATTTTGAAACTCTTGTTATTTCAATTGCATACTTTTTAACTTCCTTCTCGATACTTATGAATTCCCTTACATGGTAAATTTCCAAACACTTTTCTATCCATATGTCTTAGGTTTTCAGATGTTTGTCTCTATAGCAAGTACACATAGAATTTCATGTCAGAGATATCAACTGCATTTTAATCCCTCCTATGTCCTTTCTGTTTCAATAAATAATAAATAGCAAATTAAAAGGTAGATTGTTCAATGGGTTATAATACGACCGCAAAAAAATTTTTGTGGTCGTATATTGGTATGACGTTGGCGTCGTCGTCGTCCGGCGTTGTCGTCGTCGTCCGGCGTCGTCCGAAGACACATTGGTTTTCGCACTCTAACTTTAGTTTAAGTGAATGGATCTTTATGAAATTTTACCACAAGGTTCAATACCACAAAAGGAAGGTTGGGATTGATTTTGGGGGTTATGGTAATAACAGTAAAGGAATTAGGGGCCAAAAAGGGGCCAAAAATAAGCATTTTTGTAACTTCCAGACATAACTTGTGTGTTAGTGTATGGATCTCTCTGACATTGTACCACAAGGTTCCATATCACTAAAGGAATGCTGGGATTGATTTTGGGGGTAATTGCCTCCAAATTTATGAATTAGGGGCCAAAAAAGGGGCAAAAAACAAGCATTTTTCTAGTTTCATGACAATAACTTGTGTGTAAGTGTATGGATCTTTCTGAAATTGTACTACAAGGTTCCATATCACAAAGGGAAAGCTGGGTTTGAGTTTGGGGGTAATTGCCCTAAACGTTTAGGAATTTGGGGCCAAAAAGGGGCCAAAAAACACATTGTTTTCTAGTTTCCAGACAATAACTTGTGTTCAAGTGTATGGATCTCTCTGAAATTGTACTGCAAGGTACCATACCACAAAGGGAAGGCTGGGATTGAGTTTGGGGGTGATGAATCATAATGGGGGTTCAAAAAATTTTGGGGGGGGATTCATTTTTTTTTCCTTTTTTTTCTTTTTTTTCTTTTTTTCCTTTTTTGTTCCTTTTAAAATTTTCCATTTTAAGTTGGTTATTTCTGATTTATATTTAAAATCAAATAATAATGATATGGTAGGAGATACACACCAATCAGGATGTGTAAATTATTATATAATAAGTATTGTGCAATAGCAAGAAATTTTCAATTGCACAGTATTGCACAATAGCAAGAAATCTTCAATTGCACAGTATTGCGCAATAGCAAGAAATCTTCAATTGCACAGTATTGCGCAATAGCAAGAAATATCCAATAGCACAATATTGCGCAATAGCAAGAAATTGTCAATTGTACAGTATTGCGCAATAGCAAGAAATATTTAATAGCACAGGATTGTGCAAAAGAAGATACTTCCTATAAATTGCTTATTTCTTGACCAATTTCAATGGGGTTTTATTCTTGATTTCATGGGGTTCTTTAATATGCTGAATCTAACCGTGTATTTAGTTTTTGGATTTTGGGCCCCGTTTTTAAATTGGTCCACATTGAGGTCCAAAGGGTCCAAAATTAAACTTTGTTTGATTTCATCAAAAATTGAATTATTGGGGTTCTTTGATATGCCGAATCTAACTGTGTATTTAGATTCTTAAATTTTGGTTCCGTTTTCAAATTGGTCTACATTAAGGTCCAAAGGGTCCAAAATTAAACTTAGTTTGATTTTAACAAAAATTGAATTCTTAGGGTTCTTTGATATGCTGAATCTAAACATGTATTTAGATTTTTGATTATGGGCCCAGTTTTCAAGTTGGTCCAAATCGGGGTCCAAAATTAAACTTTGTTTGATTTCAACAAAAATTGAATATATGGGGTTCTTTGATATGCTGAATCTAACCATGTATTTAGATTTTTGATTTTTGGGCCCCGTTATCAACTTTGTCCACATTGAGGTCAAAAGGGTCCAAAATTAAACTTTGTTTGATTTCATCAAAAATTGAATTATTGGGGTTCTTTGATATGCCGAATCTAACCGTGTATTTAGATTCTTAATTTTTGGTTCCGTTTTCAAATTGGTCTACATTAAGGTCCAAAGGGTCCAAAATTAAACTTAGTTTGATTTTAACAAAAATTGAATTCTTAGGGTTCTTTGATATGCTGAATCTAAACATGTATTTAGATTTTTGATTATGGGCCCAGTTTTCAAGTTGGTCCAAATCGGGGTCCAAAATTAAACTTTGTTTGATTTCAACAAAAATTGAATATATGGGGTTCTTTGATATGCTGAATCTAACCATGTATTTAGATTTTTGATTTTTGGGCCCCGTTATCAACTTTGTCCACATTGAGGTCAAAAGGGTCCAAAATTAAACTTTGTTTGATTTCATCAAAAATTGAATTCTTGGGGTTCTTTGATATGCTGAATCTAACCATGTATTTAGATTTTGGATATTGGACCATAATAGGTGAATGTCCAATTTAAAATTTTTAAGTTCTTAGACCACATTCAATCTGTGTTAGAAACCTATGCTGTGTCAAATATTTAATCACAATCCAAATCCAAAGCTGTATCAAGCTTGAATGTTGTGTCCATACTTCCCCAAACTGTTCAGGGTTCGACCTCTGCGGTCGTATCAAGCTGCGCCCTGCGGAGCATTTTATTATATATGTGACGGGATTGCTTCCCTTAGTAAATGTGGTAGATAGTTAGTCAGCCGTTAGTGGTTGAGCTAAGGAAGTACTTCTTTAGCTCAGTCAGTATACATGCTGCCTTGTAACACAGAGGTCCCGGGTTCGGGTGCGGGTGGAGACAAGCAATTTTGTAATGAAATTCATGCTCTCCAGTTACTTTGGTGCCCAACTGAAAAACCCACTATGGTTAGAGAGGAATTCTAGCTAGGGTATGTGTGTGAGAGTCATAATGGTATGATGACTCTTGAGATGGGGTAAGTGTGACGGGATTGCTTCCCTTAGTAAATGTGGTAGATACTTAGTCAGCTGTAAGCGGTTGAACTAAGGAAGTACTTCTTTAGCTCAGTCAGTATATGTGCTGCCTTGTAACACAGAGGTCCTGGGTTCGAGTCCGAGTGGAGACAAGCAATTTTGTAATGAAATTCATGCTCTCCGGTTACATATATATAATAAATTGATGAAAGGGAAGTACTGACGTAATCCACATAAATACTACAAATTTGAATTCAAGGACACATTAACAGACCTGCCAACTTTCCTGATTTGTGGGGATATCCCCATGAGGGGTGTTGATCACACTCATTCAAACAATATAATAGTAGATTAAAAACACTTATGACTATAAAAGAGGAGCATTATGTCCTCTTGTGCCAAAAATACCCCATGGAGATTTTGAAAAGTTGGCAGGTATGCATTAATCATTAAGGCCTTGCTGTCCTCATGACATAAGACATGAAAAGAAATATCATATAATACATTAATTAGACAATAATCTATAAACACACACAAAAAACAACCCCAGAAATCTAATACATTCAACAATAAACATGTATCCATGCCACATGTCAAGCTCTAAATTATCTTTAATAAAAACTATTAATGATTTAAATCACGTTTTAACAGATCTAGTTGAAGATCTGCCATCAACACCAAATTCCTTAATAAAACAAAATTTTGCTCAGATAAATACCACCACTGAGAGGATTCTGGGCTTCAGATGGATTCATGAAAGTGTTTAGAGGTTAAGTTAGTTTTTTTGGGGGTCACCTCTGTCCCTCGAGGTGTCATGCCACCATTGATTCTTCCCTATTAGTCTTTGTTAAATTTGCACTTTTCAAAAAAATTTTGCAGAATTTATCTTTGTTTCAAATAAAGAAATACTTGGCATGAGTAAAGTTTTATCCTGTCCAGTACTATAGACAAAATTTCACATAATGTTTCATTACATATAAGAAAATAACCATCACTGGAAGTTAACCAATCACATTTTCACCCTTTTTATACGACCGCAAAAAAATTTTGTGGTCATATATTGGTATGACGTTGGCGTCGTCGTCGTCGTCGTCGTCGTCCGAATACATATTGGTTTTCGCACTCTAACTTTAGTTTAAGTGAATGGATCTTTTTGAAATTTGACCATAAGGTTAAATACCACAAGAGGAAGGTTGGGATTGATTTTGGGGGTTATGGTACCAACAGTTAAGGAATTAGGGGCCAAAAAGGGGCCAAAAATGAGCATTTTCTAGTTTCCAGACAATAACTGTGGAACGGTGTATGGATCTCTCTGAAATTATACTACAAGTTTCCATACCACAAAGGGATGGTTAGGATTTGCTTTGGGGGGTTATGGCTCAAACCGTTTAGGAATTAGGGGCAAAAAAGGGGGAAAAACAAGGTTGTCCTGGTTAATGGACAAATACTTTAGTACAAAACATAATTTAAAGCAGTGTTGAAATTATCTCCCTTACACTGCTTTTAAATTATGTATAAAGTAATGGTTAATGAACAATAAAGATAATCTAAAACAGTGTAAGGGAGGTAATCCAAATACAACGTTTTGGTTACTTCCCTTACACTGCTTTTAAATTATGTTTAAAGAAATGCATATTTATAAAGGAAGACCAGTAAAAATATCTGCAAATGTTTTCATCTTTTTTTTTTATGAAAGATTTGACACTATATTTTTATTAATTCTATTATAAAATAGATTAAGTTAGCACTATGGTAAATTTAAATGGGTAATTATGGTTGCCAACTCCATTGGAAATTTGAATTGAGATTATGACCATATCTTGAGGGAAAGAATTTTTTTGGGGGAAAAAGGGGGGGGGGATAAAAAGAAATTGTGGGGGGCCAATTTTTTCTCATTTCAGATTTCAGAAATTAAAAAGAATTATTCTTCAAATATTATTTTTTTTTCAAATTTCAAATATTGAAAAATTTCAAGAAGTAATCTTTAATTGCACAGTATGGCGCATTAGATTTGTAAAATCTTTGATCACATTTATTTATTTGTTATGCCGAATCTAACAGTGTATTTAGATTTTTAATTTTGGGTCCAGTTTTCAAATTGGTCTACATTAATGTCCAAAGGGTCCAAAATTAAACTTTGTTTGATTTTAGCAAAAATTTAATATATGAGGTTCTTTGATATGCTGAATCTAAACATGAATTTAGATTTTTGATTTTTGGCCCAGTTTTCAAGTTGGTCCAAATTGGGGTCCAAAATTAAACTTTGTTTGATTTCAACAAAAATTGAATATATGGGGTTCTTTGATATGCTGAATCTAACCATGTATTTAGATTTTTTATTTGTGGACCCCGTTATCTAATTGGTTCATATTGAGGTCAAAAGGGTCCAAAATTAAACTTTGTTTGATTTCATCTAAAATTGAATTATTGGGGTTCTTTGATATTCCAAATCTAACCGTGTATTTAGGTTTTTAATTTTGGGTCCTGTTTTTTAAATTGGTCTACATTGAGGTCCAAAGGGTCCAAAATTAAACTTAGTTTGATTTTGACAAAAATTGAATTCTTGGGGTTCTTTGATTTGCTGAATCTAAACATGTGTTTAGATTTTTGATTATGGGCCCAGTTTTCAAGTTGGTCCAAGATAGGGTCCAGTATTTAAACTTTGTTTGATTTCAACAAAAATTGAATATATGGGGTTCTTTGATATGCTGAATCTAAACATGTATTTAGATTTTTGATTATGGGCCCAGTTTTCCAGTTGGTCCAAATTGGGGTCCAAAATTAAACTTTGTTTGATTTCAACAAAAATTGAATATATGAGGTTCTTTGATATGCTGAATCTAACCATGTATTTAGATTTTTTATTTGTAGGCCCCGCTATCAAATTGGTTCATATTGAGGTCAAAAGGGTCCAAAATTAAACTTTGTTTGATTTCATCGAAAATTGAATTATTGGGGTTCTTTGATATGCCAAATCTAACCGTGTTTTTAGATTTTTAATTTGGGTCCCGTTTTTTAAATTGGTCTTCATTGAGGTCCAAAGGGTCCAAAATTAAACTTAGTTTGATTTTAACAAAAATTGAATTCTTGGGGTTCTTTGATATGCTGAATCTAAACATGTGTTTAGAGTTTTGATTATGGGCCCAGTTTTCAAGTTGGTCCAAGTTGGGGTCCAAAATTAAACTTTTTTTGATTTCAACAAAAATTGAATATATGGGGTTCTTTGATATGCTGAATCTAACCATGAATTTAGATTTTTTATTTGTGGGCCCCGCTATCAAATTGGTTCATATTGAGGTCAAAAGGGTCCAAAATTAAACTTTGTTTGATTTCATCAAAAATTGAATTATTGGGGTTCTTTGATATTCCAAACCTAACTGTGTATTTAGATTTTTAATTTTAAGTCCCGTTTTTTAAATTGGTCTACATTAAGGTCCAAAGGGTCCAAAATTAAACTTAGTTTGATTTTAGCAAAAATTGAATTCTTGGGGTTCTTTGATATGCTGAATCTAAACATGTGTTTAGATTTTTGATTATGGGCCCAGTTTTCAAGTTTGTCCAAGTTGGGGTCCAAAATTAAACTTTGTTTGATTTTAACAAAAATTGAATATATGGGGTTCTTTGATATGCTGAATCTAACCATGTATTTTGATTTTGGACATTGGACCATAATAGGTAAATTAAAAAAATTCAAGTTCTTAAACCACGTTCTTTCTGTGTCAGAAACCTATGCTGTGTCAAATATTTAATAACAATCCAAATTCAGAGCTGTATCAAGCTTGAATGTTGTGTCCATACTTGCCCCAACTGTTCAGGGTTCGACCTCTGCGGTCGTATCAAGCTGCGCCCCAGCGAAGCATTTTATTCTATCTGTGTACAAGCTTTAGTAACCATGTAACCTCAAGTTTCCAAAATATTCTATAGAAACACCAAATGAAAAAATAATAGTGCTTTGAAACACCCAAGATATATGTCTATGACACAGAAATGTTTTACTGCAATGAAATGTAGGATTAATTTCCTACAACTGTCAAATTCAAGGGAATATTTTTTTTCAACCCTTTTTCGTATGCAACCAGATGTGACATACTATGATTTGATGGTAGTACACCTCAATGAAATACAGTTAACTTTGCAGGTTTACCTAAGACCAAAGCATATTTTTTTTTCTATTTTTAGAAAGCTTTTGAAGGAATATCAGAGAACTTTAAGAAACCATTAACACAAGAACAGACACAAGGTGTTGAGGATATTTTAAACAAATTACCTATAGAACTGATTGATGTCTTTGTGGAGTTATTATTTGAATGTATTGTTCTAAAAATAGACGTCCCACAGAATATTGATGATGAAGACTATGTTGATATGTCTAAAATCTGGTAAGAATAAATTTCTGTTTTTAAAGGCAGTGCTTTAATGCCTTTCTAGTTGCCGTGTTAATCTTTCTTTCCGCGATATCCAACTTATCTACGTGGGGGGTCATTAGGCTCCAAGTAGATCCGGAAAATGTTAATTCTCTCCTCTTCTTATTGTGATATAAAATGTTTTTTGTTTCATTTCATTTACATTGGGAAATAGAGAAACGATCATTGTGTTTTGTTAGTTTTAAAAACTTTTGATATATTTGTATTTTACATTATAAGCAGTCAACCGATTGACAAACTAGAATTATTTGAATTCCGTGTGTAAAGAGGTCGGGTTAATTTCGAGTGTTATCTGCAATCTAGATGTTTATAAATCATTTCAGTCGTTGATATAATAATTAAAGGTCGACTGAACATGATTATATTATACAATTTAAAGCGCATTTCTGTTTATGCACGCGAACCCGTCTAACGTTATTGTTATTTCGCAGTTATATAAAGTAGCAAATTATCGTTCCTGAATAGGTGGCGCCGTGGTAGCCGATCCTGTTCTTCAACTTCCGGTTTCTGCACTGTGCAACTATTACAGTTGCATTTTTAATTAACGATGCCAAGTACTTGTTGTTGTGTACCTGGATGTCATTTAAGAGGAGGACATGCATTTCCAAATGACTTAAAAAGAAGGAAAAGTTGGATCAACGCCATGGCCCATACGCAGATTGGACGAGAACACGGTGAAATCGTGGAGTCCATCTCAATCAGCTGTTGTTTGCAAGGCACATTTTACTGAAAAAGACTTCGTGCAGGAAACTATTCATGGTAAAACTCTATTTTCTTTTTAAAATATATAGTTATATATGTAATCGCCATGCGAATAAACCAAAGTCTGTTTACAACCGCAATTATCGTTTTAGAATAAAAGGGGGTGGTAAATTCATGACGTCATAATTTTTTGGATTACGATTCAATGTGATCTGTTTGAGATTTTTTGATGCTTGCTACAATTATAATGATTTCTTACAAGAGGTATATCATACTGAGAATTATTTTAGCAGTAATTATGCTAATGTAGTAATGACAGGAATGCATAAGCTATGCCTCATAGACTTTCTTGAAAAATACATGTATCAATGACAATGTTAACAGGAACAAAACAATGACATGCTCTCATCTATATTATAGTTATTTAGGTACAAACAATTTATGTTTGTTGCATACGTCTCTCATTGTTTGTCCTTTGGATTTACATAACATACATTTTGATGTACATTGAATCAGGCTAACATAGTTTTATCCAGATTGTAATGAATAAATCTAGTTAATATTTTGCCAGGTAGTACAAAGTATGCATTGCTAATAGAAGTTCATTTAATTATCAAAAAACTAATGTTTTATAACCTTTTTCAGAGCGCAAACCCTCCATACAGAGACTTAAGTCTACTGCCATTCCCAGCCTATTTTCCTGGATCAAGCAAGAGACTGAATCGTCCGCAAAAAGAAAAATCAGGGCAGTTTCCTGTGAAAACAAAAGAACTAAACTTGATGAATATTGTAGTAGAAATCTAGAGGAAAGTTTTGATTGTAAAGTTGGTTTTCCTGAAGAAGTCATTCATACTGCAGACAGGATTTATGACTGTCCACCACCAACTGCCGAGCTAATGTTGAGCTTCACAGATGGAATTACGCAAACACCATCAATGCCTATATTTTCAGCAGAGAATTTTGAAATGAAGACACGTGACACAGCCATGCATTTTTATACCAGTTTAGAGTTGTATACTAAATTTTTATTTGTTTTGACCACACTTGGTCCAGCAGCACATTGTTTGAGATACATATATTTTCAAATTGATAGGGTGTCATTTGAAACTAGTGTTTTGAATATTGTGTAAACATGGATTGTTTTTATGTCTAAACAGTGGCGTGAGGCTAACACTTGGCCATTTAGTCAGGTATTTTTCGCCATCCAACTTCAAATTAAAGTTTCCTACAACTTGGATTATTATTGACAGCACAGAATATCCCGTGATAAAACATAAAGCTCCTAGAGCTCAGGCAACCTTTTCATCATATAAAAACAGAAACACTGAAAATACTTGTATGTTCGACACCTGGTGGTTTAGTCAACTACAAAAATGTATGTCTCTAATGCATATGTAGGTTGTACCAGTGACTGTGAAATAGTTGAAAGATGTAGAATACATGTGTAGTTCAATTATGTGATCCAGGTGACAGTGTGATGGCAGACAAAGGTTTAAATGTGCAAGATTTGTTTGCTCACTTTTTTCAAAAAAAGAAACAGAATTAGTTCCAAAACTCTTATACGGGATAGAAAAGTCTCCAATTAACACGTGCACATAGAGCTAATTATTGGACTTGGAAAAACATACAAAATTCTAATAAATCCTATGAATGGAACTGAAACAAAACTTTCATCTGAAATAACATTTAGTTGTTTTATGTTGTGTAATTTTAGAACTTGTATTGTGCCAAAGGATGCATAAATAAAAGTGACGCAATGAAGTTTATTCTGATATATATATATAAATATTATTTACAATTACATGCACATGTAAATTGTAATGCATGAAAAAATAAGGAGATGTGGTATGATATTCAGTGAGTTTATCGAACCAAAGTGCATAAGAAATGGGTTAAGCAGTTACAGGTGTTACTGTCACCGTACAATCTCCAACAATTAGAAAAACTTGTACCGTGTAAAAAATTTCAGAGATCTTACAACTAAGTTTGACTTTGGTGAATTGTTTATATCTGTTGATGTAAATATAAAAAAGAAGATGTGGTATGATTGCCAATGTGAGAACTCTCCACAAGAGACCAAATGACACAGAAATTAACAGCTATAGGTCACAGTACGTCCTTCAACAATGAGCAAAGCACATACCGCACAGTGAGCTATAAAAGGCCCCGAAATGACAATGTAAAACAATTCAAACAAGAAAACTAACGGCCTAATTTATGTACAAAAAATGAACGAATAACAAATATGCAACACATAAACAAACGACAACCACTGAATTACAGGCTCCTGACTTGGGACAGGCACATACATGTACATACAGAATGTGGCGGGGTTAAACATGTTAGCGGGATCCCAACCCACCCCCTAACCTGGGACAGTGGTGTAACAGTACAATATAAGAACGAACTATAAAAATCAGTTGAAAGAGGCTTAACTCATCAGATGGATAAATACAAATACAAGTGGACGTGGCCGGGTAGTTGTACATCCAAACAACTAAAAGACACTAAGTACAGATCTGAGAGTACTCGCATTTACTGACAGCTAGTTCAAAGCCACTAACAACTGATAAAAAAATCTTGCATCTAAGACTAAATTATCAATCCGTAAGCTCCCTTTAGAATTTTATAAATTTTAGATTTTACATTTCTGAGTTGTGGGGTTTTATTCATTAAAAAAGGGGGGATTTTCCAGTTTTTGGACAACAACTCAAAAATGCTTTAAGCAGTTCGCATGAAACTTTGGTGAATTATTTATAGCTATTGATGTAATCTCCCTATTGATTTTCATAAATTTCAAATATGACATTGAGAAGAAATTGAACTTTATTTGTTTATAGTCTGGCAACAGATTTATTAAGTATTGCGCAACAGCACAGTGTATTGCACAACAGCAAGAAATCTTTAATTGAATATAAATTCAATTCATATAACCGATTTCAAGTTCTTTGACTACATTTATTCAGAAACTATAATATGTCAAATATTTAATTACAATCCGAATTCAGACCTGTATCAAGCTTGAATATTGTGTCCATTTTTGCCCCAACTGTTCAGGGTTGGACCTCTGCAGGTGTATCCAGCTGCGCTCAGCGAATCAGTTTATTTCTTAATTAAGAACTCCTTTTTGTCGAGCCTGCGACTTTTGTCGCAGAAAGCTCGACATAGGGATAGTGATCCGGTGGCAGTGTTAGCTAACTTCTTAAAAGCTTTATATTTTAGAAGGTGGAAGGTCTGGATGCTTCATACTTTGTATATGGATGCCTCATGTTACGAAGTTTCCGTCAGTCACATGTCCAATGTCCTTGACCTCATTTTCATGGTTCAGTGACTACTTGAAAAAAAGTTAAGATTTTTTGTAATGTTAAATTCTCTCTTATTATAAGTAATAGGATAACTATATTTGGTATGTGTGTACCTTGCAAGGTCCTCATGCCCGTCAGACAGTTTTCACTTGACCTCAACCTCATTTCATGGATCAGTGAACAAGTTTAAGTTTTGGTGGTCAAGTCCATATCTCAGATACTATAAGCAATAGGTCTAGTATATTCGGTGTATGGAAGGACTGTCCAACTGGCAGGTGTTATCTGACCTTGACCTCATGTTCATGGTTCAGTGGTTATAGTTAAACTTTTGTGTTTTGGTCTGTTTTTCTTATACTGTATGCAATAGGTCTACTATATTTGGTGTATGGAATGATTGTAAGGTGTACATGTCTAGCTGGCAGGTGTCATCTGACCTTGACCTCATTTTCATGGTTCAGTGGTCAAAGTTAAGTTTTGGAGTTTTGGTCTTTTTTTCTAATACTATATGCAATAGTTCAACTATATTTGGTGTATGGAAATATTTTATGATCTATTTGTCAGTCACACAGGTTTTTTTATACGACCTCAAAAAAATTTTTGTGGTCGTATATTGGTATGACGTTGGCGTCGTCGTCGTCGTCGTCCGAAGACGCATTAGTTTTCGCACTCTAACTTTAGTTTAAGTGAATGGATCTCTATGAAATTTTACCATAAGGTTCAATACCACAAAAGGAAGGTGGGGATTGATTTTGGGGGTTATGGTACCAACAGTTAAGGAATTAGGGGCCAAAAAGGGGCCAAAAATAAGCATTTTCTAGTTTCCAGACAATAACTGTGGAACGGTGTATGGATCTCTCTGAAATTATACTACAAGTTTCCATACCACAAAGGGATGGTGAGAATTTGCTTTGGGGGGTTATTGCTCAAACCGTTTAAGAATTAGGGGCAAAAAAGGGGGAAAAACAAGGTTGTCCTCATTAATGGACAAATACTTTAGTACAAAACATAATTTAAAGCAGTGTAAGGGAGATAAATCAAATACATCATTGAAATTATCTCCCTTACACTGCTTTTAAATTATGTATAAAGAAATGCATATTTATAAAGGAAGACCAGTATGGCGCATTAGGTTTGTAAAATCTTTGACCACATTTATTTATTTGTTATGCCGAATCTAACCGTGTATTTAGATTTTTAATTTTGGGTCCAGTTTTCAAATTTGTCTACATTAAGGTCCAAAGGGTCCAACATTAAACTTTGTTTGATTTTAACAAAAATTGAATATATGGGGTTCTTTGATATGCTGAATCTAAACATGTATTTAGATTTTAGATTTTTGGCCCAGTTTTCAAGTTGGTCCAAATTGGGGTCCAAAATTAAACTTTGTTTGATTTCAACAAAAATTGAATATATGGGGTTCTTTGATATGCTGAATCTAACCATGTATTAGATTTTTTATTTGTGGACCCCGCTATCAAATTGGTTCATATTGAGGTCAAAAGGGTCCAAAATTAAACTTTGTTTGATTTCATCAAAAATTGAATTATTGGGGTTCTTTGATATGCCAAATCTAACCGTGTATTTAGATTTTTAATTTTGGGTCCCGTTTTTTAAATTGGTCTACATTAAGGTCCAAAGGGTCCAAAATTAAACTTAGTTTGATTTTAACAAAAATTGAATTCTTGGGGTTCTTTGATATGCTGAATCTAAACATGTGTTTAGATTTTTGATTATGGGCCCAGTTTTCAAGTTTGTCCAAGTTGGGGTCCAAAATTAAACTTTGTTTGATTTCAACAAAAATTGAATATATGGGGTTCTTTGATATGCTGAATCTAAACATGTATTTAGATTTTAGATTTTTGGTCCAGTTTTCAAGTTGGTCCAAATTGGGGTCCAAAATTAAACTTTGTTTGATTTCAACAAAAATTGAATATATGGGGTTCTTTGATATGCTGAATCTAACCATGTATTTAGATTTTTTATTTGTGGACCCCGCTATCAAATTGGTTCATATTGAGGTCAAAAGGGTCCAAAATTAAACTTTGTTTGATTTCATCAAAAATTGAATTATTGGGGTTCTTTGATATGCCAAATCTAACCGTGTATTTAGATTTTTAATTTTGGGTCCCGTTTTTTAAATTGGTGTACATTAAGGTCCAAAGGGTCCAAAATTAAACTTAGTTTGATTTTAACAAAAACTGAATTTTTGGGGTTCTTTGATATGCTGAATCTAAACATGTGTTTAGATTTTTGATTATGGGACCAGTTTTCAAGTTTGTCCAAGTTGGGGTCCAAAATTAAACTTTGTTTGATTTCAACAAAAATTGAATATATGGGGTTCTTTGATATGCTGAATCTAAACATGCATTTAGATTTTAGATTTTTGACCCAGTTTTCAAGTTGGTCCAAATTGGGGTCCAAAATTAAACTTTGTTTGATTTCAACAAAAATTGAATATATGGGGTTCTTTGATATGCTGAATCTTACCATGTATTTAGATTTTTTATTTGTGGGCCCGCTATCAAATTGGTTCATATTGAGGTCAAAAGGGTCCAAAATTAAACTTTGTTTGATTTCATCAAAAATTGAATTATTGGGGTTCTTTGATATGCCAAATCTAACCGTAATTTTAGATTTTTAATTTTGGGTCCCGTTTTTTTAAATTGGTCTACATTAAGGTCCAAAGGGTCCAAAATTAAACTTAGTTTGATTTTAACAAAAATTGAATTCTTGAGGTACTTTGATATGCTGAATCTAAACATGTGTTTAGATTTTTAATTTTGGGTCCCGTTTTTTTAAATTGGTCTACATTAAGGTCCAAAGGGTCCAAAATTAAACTTAGTTTGATTTTAACAAAAATTGAATTCTTGAGGTACTTTGATATGCTGAATCTAAACATGTGTTTAGATTTTTGATTATGGGACCAGTTTTCAAGTTTGTCCAAGTTGGGGTCCAAAATTAAACTTTGTTTGATTTCAACAAAAATTGAATATATGGGGTTCTTTGATATGCTGAATCTAACCATGTATTTTGATTTTGGACATTTGACCATAATAGGTAAATTAAAAAAATTGAAGTTCTTAGACCACATTCTTTCTGTGTCAGAAACCTATGCTGTGTCAAATATTTAATCACAATCCAAATTCAGAGCTGTATCAAGCTTGAATGTTGTGTCCATACTTGCCCCAACTGTTCAGGGTTCGACCTCTGCGGTCGTATCAAGCTGCGCCCAGTGAAGCATTTTATTTTACCTTGACCTCATTTTCAAGGTTCATTGCTCAGTTTTAAGTTTTTGTGTTTTGGTCTGTTTTTCTTAAACTATAAGCAATAGGTCAACTATATTTGTTGTATGGAAGAATTGTTAGCTGTACATGCTTGCCTAGCATGGTTCATCTGACCTTGACCTCATTTTCTTGGTTCATTGGTCAATGTTTAGTTTACTTGGTTAATGTTAAGTTTATGTGACAGTTGTAATAAAGCTTTATATTTAGGACTATCAACATAATATCAATGATTAGTAAAGAAGTCGAGACATTTCAGCGTGTGCACTCTTGTTTCATTCATAAATTACTTTATACTTGGAAATATAATTTTGCTTGGAGTTATAGTTTCTAAAAAAAGTATTGTCATTGAAAGAGTTGACATGTTGCAATGTACATTTATTCTACATAGTTTTATGGTACCAAATCAAAAGTTTATATAAAAGAAAGAAGTCAAAGTTTTCCCATCATAGTTTAGTTACATACATTTTTTTTGTACCTGAGGTCGTTGAATATAGATCATTATATAAATAAGGAGATGTGTCATAATTGCCAATGAAACAACTATCACCCATACATTGTACTTACCAGTAACAAACCACATTTGCAAAGTCGAATAAAATACAGTTGATAACATTTACTTATTACTAAAAAGAAAATGCCAAACCATTTTTAACAGTATTTGACTATAAACATAGATAAAAAAGGTACAAACTGGACATAATGCACTAGTTCATAAACAAATGAGAACAATCGCCTTCATATAGTGCTCAGAATATGACATTCATAAAACTTATTCAATATCATTAGAGAACTCTAAATCTTAAATACTGAAAGCCACCTCTGATAAGTACAATGTACTATGCAAGATAATGATATAACTGGACTAAAAATACACACAACCTGTAATTAACTGCCTTTACAAAGCTTTCGCGCTTTGATTATCTTCTGCTGATGTATCAAAGAAGTGGATTACATTCTTATAGAACATGTAAGAAAACCAAATAAGAATTTCACAAGTTTGCCTAATTTTGACATCATCTCTTAACTTTTTTTTTTCATTACATTTTGATAAGGTTAATGTGGCCCACATTTAATTAATTTAAAACTATTTATTGTAAAATACACATTATAAAATATTTATGATATTACCATTGACATTTTTGAATCAACCTCAGTGAGGATGTAAAAATGTGTTGCTTGATTGCGAATCTGTTGCAATACATAGGTCTCAGATTGTCTTCAGTCGTCATAGTACACATAATTGTCATTATTTGGCAATAATTTAATTTTGGATGTAACACGTCTTCTGATTGGCTGACGTTGTTTTGTTTATCAGCTCATAGACATAATTTTGTCATGTGACCGTGACGTCATCAACGTTTTTTCATGGTTTACTCCGGTTTAAAATGGAATTTAGAATTAAATTATAAGAAATGACTGTAATATTTTTCTGTCTATTCGAAATAACATCAAAAATGTGGTGCACACTGAATAACCCGCGTACTTAAATAAAATTCAATATTTTTAAAGGATTATAATAATGTAAATTCAGAAATTATTGCGAGGTTTTTATAAATGCGCATAATGCGACTGGATGAGTATCACAATTACAAGAAATTACATTCTTAATTTGATACAGATATCTGTCATTCTGTATGCAGATTTTCCTGAAATACAATATTAATCTTCATAAATTGCAATAATAACTGCGTACACTAATTTCTGTATTTAAAAAAAAATGTGGTGATAGGAGCCAATAAATGTGTCCTATATCATAAAATTTAGAATGGAAATGGGGAATATGTCAAAGAGACAACAACCTGACCAAAGAGCAGATAACAGCCGAAGGCCACCAATAGGTCTTCAACATAGTGAGAAAATCCCGCACCCAGAGGCTGATTTCAGCTGGCCCCTGAACAGAAATGTGTACATAGCTTATCATATCATGGACATGTCAAAACATTCAATTATATGGATTTGTTTGTAGTCATAGACATATCTTAAAGTAATCACCTGTTATTTAAAATTGTAGTTTACGTGATGCACTAATTGGATATCTTGATGCCTGTCCATATGATGAGGATTTGACAATAGAAGATACTTTAATGACAGCCATTGGTCAGTTACCATCAGATAAAGAGGATACCAACAGGATATCGACAGCACAGTCTATAGAAGTCTGGAGTCTAGTCAATAAAGTCTTTACAAGTAAACAAAGACAAAGACATTAGATAGCAAACCAGAGGAAAAATATCAAATATATGTGCCATAGAACATTTTGAGTGATCTCAAATTTTTTGGTAATTCTCTCAATGTAAATGTCTTTGAATGAATACATTGAATAAGAGATGATTTTGACAGGTTTACACTTAAATGCTACGGTACGAAATTTTACAACAGCACAAAGTTGAAATCATGTTTCTACATAGCTGGGATGCACATGAGCTATGACAATATATGTATGCATAATAAGTAAATGAGTAGACCCGGTGTTTTTGTTTTTGTTTGTTTATTTATTTTTTCACTTGTTTGAAATCCTTAGAATGTGATATGATAAAAATATTTCAAAAAAATGTAAAGAGACCATTGTGATATGCAAAGTATTTACCAAAGACGCAGGTGCAGATTCTAGTTGCAATAAAAAATATATACAGGATTTTTTTTTATCAAATTAATTAATGGGACCAGTTAAGATATTTTCATTTGTTTACTGAACATCATAATACTTGTTACTTGGGTAACTGTAAGTTTGTTGATCTTGTTTTTTTTTTAATTATTTGTTCCATTCTGCACTCGGGTTTCTATCATGTTTTGTAAATAAAATGATATGTAATATGTAGGTATAAGATTTTTTTAAAGCTTGAAATTTTGTTTTAATTCAGTTTCATATATTGTCTTTCATTAAATTGTGCAATTATTGATATATTTATATTCAAATTGGTTGTCCTTTTTTGTTGTTGTTGAATAGAAAAAATGTATTGCCTTAATTTTTTATAATTTGAAATTTTGTAGTCATATTTTGGTATGGGCATGTTATGAAGGTCTGCCAATATGTTGTCTAGTGTGTGTAGATGTATTATTCCAGACAATGATAGTTTAAAAATTGGAAATCACAAAGTTTTATAAGAGCAGTACTAAAATTAAGGACTTAAACCACATAGGTTAGAAAAATGGGAATACAATGCATTCAGATCATTTAACCTTTATCATTGCCCACTGATGTTTTTTGTATTGCTGTGTTTTTGAATATTTGAATATTTCCGTCTGAAAAGTGTGTTTTAATAATTTATTTAAAACACAAAATGAGCTGTATTGATACATTAATAATTCGTGGATTGTAACATTCTTTAGTCCTTTTAAAAATAAGTTAATTTTATTAGTAAATAAGAATGATATTATTATCTGGTCACTTCTATACAAAAATATCTCATTTCATTAATTTTGTGATGACTTCCTGTGTCACAATTGTCTTATTTGACCACAAAAAAAAATGTCATTTTAAATATAGTTTTGCTTAATTTGAATAGGAACAATACAGCAGGTGTTTGATAATGACCTGAGTTTCACCTAAGCAGTTTTGGTTTCAACATCAAGATATTTATTTTAAACAGCTCTTTGTAACATTAAATAGAGTTGACCAGTACATGTAGCAAGAAAACTAATATGAGTTTTGGCTGATTAGAAGTAGATCATTTTCTAAATTTCATTTATCTGTTACACATGTTATTATATATTATTTCTGTTGTATTTTCAATAGTATTATGAACTTTTTGTCTCTTCTTTACTTCTACTTTTCTTTTCTTTTTAATTTGCTACAGTATTTAGTAATATAAAGTCAAAACATCTGTCAGTCCTTTTTAAAATTTGCTGATGTTTAATCCGATCAGAAGGATTCTTAATATAGAATTAAGTCAAATTTGTAGTCTGATTTTGAAAATTATGATTAACATTATACAATTAAATAAACAAGGATTCATATTTTTGTTATTTAAGATATCATCAAAAACAGGAATTATGGTAACCTCATTCATTAATTATTATACCCCCGCTTTAAAAAAGGGGGGTATACTGTTTTACCTCTGTCTGTCCTTCCGTCAGTCCGTCTGTCCCTCCCATGAATATTTTCGTCACATTTTTCTCAGGAACTACTTGGCAAGGATTTCTGAAATTTGGTTTCAGGGTTTATATAAGTAAGTTACACCGTGTGATGCGTTTTCAGATTCATCACTCAACAACTTCCTGTTTACGGAACACTTGTATTATTTTACACATGATAGCCAAGTTGAAAATTTTCGTCACATTTTTCTCAGGAACTACTTGACAAGGATTTCTGAAATTTGGTTTCAGGGTTTATATAAGTCAGCTTTACCGTGTGATGCGTTTTCAGGTTAATCATTAACAACTTCCTGTTTACCGAAATATTACGGCGGGGGTATCATCAGTGAGCAGTAGCTCATAGTTTTACTTGTTAATATCTCTGAAACAACACAAACATTTGAGATACGTACCAGCCGAACCTGTTCCGTACCAAACCGGGAAACCTCTATTATACAGTATATGTTTTATAATTTTTGCGTTTCAGATAGCTGTCTTGAATGCAATCATGCCGCATTTTTAAAAATTTTTGTATAAATCAAAATAAAAAAACCCGATGTAATCAAAATTTCACGGAGCTAGACCAAAAGTGTCGACTAGATACATGAGATAAGCGTTTCATCCTCTACATTAATCACCTTAAATAAAATACAGACAATATGTTACAAAAGTAGGCTACAAATTAAGGCAACAGTAGTTTCCAAAGTTTAAATCTTGAAATCGACTAAGAAGAGACAAACTAAGGTTACAAACAAAGAACAAAGAGTATCGCACAAACTCCAAAAGAAGCAAGACCTGATGCGACGACAGGGTAAGCATCTCTTATCATGAATGTATCACCCGCCATGCGAATCAAATGTAAAATATAAAATGTCACGATCAAGAATATGACACGATTAGTAAAATTACAGATCAGACTAATATACTGGTATTTAAAGATCATGGACTGCAAAGGGCATTCTAGGGCTATTCTGTTAAAGAGTACTTCTTAACATTTTCACAGTTTTTATCTTCATGGATGGAATAACCAATGGTTATAAATAAATTAAGAACAGAAAAATAAAACCTTTGCCATTCGTATTGGATTGGAAAGGCAATTCTTTAGTGCGGTTGATTAATAAACACTACACTATTAAAAAGGAGTTTTGAAATGCAACTTTTTAACTTTTTAACAACTATTACACTTTTAGAGTACCTGATAAGGATCATTCTAGAATCATGTGTCCTATATACCCATCCTACGTTTAAACAACAAGTTATCTTTATGTACACAGTTGGTACAGATTTCTATTAGTTTAGGACATCTGAATACATGTATTCTTTAATATAATTCTAACCCGATTTAACCTTTTCCAGACCGGTTGGTAATTTTTTTTAAATCAACGTATGGTCCTTTTGATCTCAGTTCTTCATTTGTAAAAATTCAATTATGGCATCAACGTTTCTTAATTTCCTCTGAATTTCATATTGTGACGTCATGGAAGCGTGATGGCGTCACATATAAAAGAACACATTTTGTCTACATTGAGTCTAAATATCATTAGAGAAACAGATTCCAAAACGGAAACTCGTTCAATACGATATTTGTCCACTCTCGACAAGTGAATTTTAAATATATATTAAGTTGGGCAAGCCTTGCGTTTTAAATATTAAAATTTAACTGACTTAAGTTGAGAAATATTATATCCCATACGATGCAGTGGTAGGATCTATATTTAATAGTTATATAATTAGTAAGTTTATATATAGCATTAATTAAAATCTGAGCGGGTTTAGCAAAACATGTTTTAATTTAACTAGTGCACGTATACACTCCATATGAATTATCCATTGGAACATAGTGCTTTAGAACGAAACACTGACAAACAAAAGAGCATAGACAAAAGTCTTCTGTTTATATTTATCCTTGAATTTGAAATTGTTATATGAACAAGAAATTTCTCTGGTTTTCTTGAACGTTTGATTTCGAGAGAATAAGTCCGTAAGTATACATATAATTGATGTATTAAGAAAATTTCCGGAATATCTAGAGTAAAAATATCGTCTAAATATCTATCATGAACTGTTGCGTTTAGTCTTTATGAAGGTTAGCCATGGAATATACATGACAGAAAGGAATACATTGTGGTAAATGGGACAAAATGATCCAATTATTAATAATCAAAGATAATATTTAAAAAAAATATTACTGTGGATTCATTATTTTTCATTGGATACCAATTTTCGTGGAATTCGTGGGTACATGGAAACCACGAATTTAAATGTTCAACGAATTGCAAATTTGCTGTATGATTAAATGGAGAATTTTGGAAAACCACGAAATCAAATATCCACGAAAATGCAAGTTTTCCTCAATCCACGAAAATTGGTACCCACGAAAATAAATGGATCCACAGTATGAGAAATTGCCGTTTTCTGACTCACTCATTGACATATAGCTTGCATCTCATTTTATTCGTATCAATAGAAACAGCTTGTTCCAGTGAAAATCTTTTCAATTATCACTCTTTAAAAAACAAACTAGAATTCTGCGAGCTAAAATTACAAAAAGATATCCCGCCCTTTCAAAGTCTATAATTTGGGAAACATGAGAAGTGTGAAATGTCATTGTGTTGAAAGTGCTATCAAATTTACATTTACAATGATTACATTAAAAATAAGTCAACATCATGTCAAAATAAACCCTTAAATCATTCAGACAAGGATGGGGACATGCTAATCGACTGTCACATTCATGATATATTCAATCGTTTTGCAACTGTAGTATGGACAAATTCTGAAAATGGACAGAAAGACTGAACATGACTTAATGATTTATTATTCAGATATTTTATAATGTGTAAAAATCAAAATGACCGTTTAAGACAACAATTTATTTAAAAGTGTTAAGATGTCGAAGATTACTTAAAAATCAATTCTTCTATCAAAGCTTAATTAGACCCATCGCAATTTATATGGGAAAAACCATGAAAATATAAGATTAAACTTATAATAACATAAATAACATCAATACGATTAGTTTTAATGTTAAAACATCAGTGGGTAATAATGACAGCCATTTTCATTTGTAATGAACTAAAAAAAAGTACTAAATATAAGAAAACAAATAATTTTCGTCATGAAATGTAAATGAATGACGATACTTCGGGATAATTTAACACCAAAATTACACGTAGAAGACATTTTGGAGACAGATTAGTACATGTATAAGGCGAATAACGCATGTTTCCGAATCAAAATGTATACTTTATTGTCTGTGTGTATTCTTTAAAATAATATAACATGATAATTCAAGGAGTGTGACACAATCTTGTTTATCAGCCTTCCTTATGAATGTACGCGTATAATTAAAGCATTTTGTCGTCATAGGCTGTTCCCTGAAGATCATAAACGTCATTTTCTGAAAATTAAATATTTTTACAGAGGTTTTGATTTTATCAACTTATCAAGAATGTTTAATGACTCTACCATTTGAAACTTTATACCTCCCTATTTTGATAACACAGAACCATCTATAATTTCGTATACATACAAAACAACCAGCAGAAGCTTAATTTTTAATTATACGTTAATAATATAACATCAGACGTCAGTGTAGAAAATAATACTCCTCTAACTTGAGATTGTGAATCGTCAAATTTTAGATATAATCCTAATGGCCATGTTATAACGGGGAACTAAATATCGTTCAAGACCGAAATGGTTAAAAATGTTTTGAAAAAGGGTCGACACACCAAAATATCGTCCTCCATCTAAAATTGTTTGGAAACAGTGTCATCATGACATATAATACGCTCTTTTATCGTATTGTAGAAGTTGTTTTAAACGGGGAAAATCTGACAAAAAATCTCTTGATTCTTATTTTAATAAATGTATGAATGTTGTGGATATTCGAATATCACATTTAAAAATAATTTAGAAATAACTCAAAGAGTACATGATAAGCCTATTTCTAGAATATGAAACAAACTTCAAATACTCACAAAGTGGTTTGTGTTTGTACCGGCCGACAAAGCAGCCAACAATGTGGTGGTGGTAGACGTAAATACTACACAGAAGTTCTTAAAAATGGAATTATTATCTACATTAAGGTCAGTGGGCTCCACAAAGAGTCATACAGTAAACAGTCATGTCATAACCACATCACAGCTTAATGCCTCTTCTGAACATTTGAATGTCCCTACTATGTATTGGTTACCTAAACTACACAAAAAAAACACAAAATATCGTTTCATCTTGGCCTCTAGTAAATGTTCTTTCAGTGCTTATAACTACTATCACAGAACTTATGATTAAGTTTTATAAAAAAAACATAGGAAAATAATGGAACTAACTTTTTTGGAGTGTAAACAATTCTTTGGATGTTTTAGATAAATTACGTGCTGTTGATGGTCCTTTGATTCTGCTGACAGTTTTGACTTTTTAACTCTTTACACAACACTTCCATACAACCAAACAAAAAGTTTCCTTTTCAAATAAATGCTCGTTTGACAAATCTGATTGCAAATATATTTGCTGCATCTCATTCAAAGCCTTCTTCTCTAATGGGAAAGGTTAATATTCTAGATATACTTTCTATGGCTATGATGAGATGATTGAAGCTGTTTATTTTCTCCTTGTTTACATTCATATACGCTTCGGCAATAAAGTGTATCGACACGTTGTAGGTATTTCTGTGGGCACCAATTGCGCCCCTTTAAAAACAGACTTGTTCTTGTACTGTTATGAATCACAGTTATAGCCAAACTCGGTAAAGACCCGTCTTACTTGCATTTATTTGATAAATTCAACAACACATATCGTAATCTTGATGATATTTTTTCGTTAAATAATCAAGAATTTTCTAAATATACTGACGAAATTTACCCATAGGAACTTACTTT